CCTCGAGCCGGTCCTCGAGGCCAAGGACCGGCTCGAGGAACACATCCCTGAGAAACAGACCCACACACACACACACACACACACACATACACACACAATAGGCCCAAACAAAGATGCATGCTCATGACAAGTCCAACACTCTGTTGTTTTCCTGCTTTTAGAGCTGTAACGTGTGCCGCGACAACATAAGCGATTCCAAAGATGATCAAATGTTTTGCTTCAAGTACTTTAAACACTTTATTGGAGACGTACTATGCAAAAAGGGACCGGTGGATTGAGATTAAAAACACAATCACCATCCACCTAGCAAAAGACATAGTTCCAGTTAATGAAGTCGTAAAAGGATTCAAGCGGGTGATCAAGATGCTGCATTATAGGTATGAAATACTGAGCAGAAAATAGTTTAGCCAAGATGCATTCTTCAACTTATCACAGAAGTACAAAGCTCGAAACAGACCTCTCCATTTGACAGCAAAAACTGATATGTGGTCTGGTCGCACAATGGAGCCCTGCTTTAGCATTCGGCAAGGTAAGGCGCCTTAATTTATGTAGCACATTTCATACAAAATACGCTTCACACAACATCTAAAAGCATTTACAAACAGAACGGTTGATGACATTAAGAAGCAAAGCAGAGAAAACAAAACTATCTTGCCAAAGGAACATACAATGACAAAAGTTAAAGATGAAGTCAGGTCACATTTTTTCTTTCCATTAATATGTTCCATACACCCCAACTAGCCTAAACATTTTGATTAATATTGGGTTGTGGGATATGAATTAAGCAGCAAAATCCACCCAATTTATCCCTCTCAGGGAGCAGCCATTTTGTCACTTGCTGTCAACTGAAAATAACATCACAGCTGCTCAGGTAACGACTAATCACGGCTCACCTGTTTTCTGGATTTGGTCATGTGATGCTCACAAGATGAGTCATGAGACTGTTCAATTGCACTCAATAACTACAAATATAGAGCAAAGCGGGGCAGTCAGGGCCTTCGAGGCCGTCTCTGCTGTCCAAACACTATCAAAAGCACAGATCTACACTTACATCTTACAGCTCCTTTGTGTCTTTTTTGTTTTCATCCAATCACATTTCAGTTTACATGTGTCACCATGTACAGTAAATGTAATTTTCCCGATGCCTTCAGAATGCCAAGAACTGGCATTGAACACACACGCACACTTTGAAATGGATGACTTAAATGAATTTAATTTTACATTCACCGCTCTATGCCTTTGTGAAGGCACAGAGTGACATTAGCATTTTGTTCCATCTTCTGGTTGGAAAAGGGGGGCTCGCTGCATCTGGAAATGTCGCAAGATAAAGGCCACGTGGTCAAAGGACAGAACTGACAATGCCTTTGTTCCATCACGTAGACACAGCACACTTTGACACACAGCCATTTTATCCCATGTGAGGCTTTTTGGCATCCGCTGACAGACATTTTGGTGCAGTGCATGAGCCTGTGTAAAATAGATCCATCCCATTGCACAGTTTCTGCATCAGCACTGGTTCACCTTCACAAATATATTGTTCTGATGACTTGGCACAGTGACTGAGCATGAAAGAGAGACTGGAAATTAGGTAAGTGGGCTTCAGCATCACAGCATGAAGCACTGTCATTGCCTTTTGAACCCTTTTAGGGACAGCACTTACGACAGTGGACAGATTCTCATGTTATCAAGTTACAGGGTGCATAAAAGGGTTAATATCACTGGTCAACAGCAGATTTTTATCAGAGATGGCTTTATGTGTCCCTCAACATGTTTTTGACTCTGACTTAAAAATGTCTTGACTCTTTTCGAGCATATTAGGTCTTTCAGATACTTCCATCGCATGAAAACTTGCACAATACCGATTTTATTACCATACACTGTAATTTATAGCTATGATGTTTCCGAAAAAAAAAAATCCACCTGTTGCTGAACCCAATCTTTAATTACTGAAATAAACATTACTAACTGTAGTACTGTACTTGTTCTTATATGATGTTTATTATTATGAAGACCTGATGTGCTGGAGAAAAATCAAGGGTAAATTCGGAATTGGCATCTCCTATTTAAACATTTAGGAAAAATTTGTTGACCAGTTGTCATTGGGAGCAGGAGTCCAAATTATTATTATTGTTGTTGTTAATAATAATAATAATAATAATAATAATAATCTTACTAGTAGTAGTAGTAGTAGTAGTATTAGTATTAAGTTCACAAAATAAAGTTCCTTGTCCTTTATTTGCTTATGAGTGCCTTAAATTCTGTTGTCTTTAAACGCTCTTTTTAAACTTTGCAAAGCACATTGAATTATCTATACACCCATGCATCCCTCCATCCATCCATTTTCTGATCCGCTTATCCTGACAAGATTCGCGGGGCGTGCTGGAGCCTATCCCAGCTGTCTTCGGGTAGTAGGCGGGGTTGTCAGGCAATCGCAAAACATTGAATGATATTGTGTATGAAATGCGGTATATCCAGAAAGCTTCTTTGCCTTGCCTTGAAGAGCACTCACACACAAAAAAATTAAATGGAAAAAATATTTCGTGTTTGGTAACATCATTTTGGCTGCATTTTTAATGAGAAAAAATGCACACATGAACAAAAAAAAAAATCATGGCAAATAAACAGCGTGCGTCTCTTTCTGGAATACTGTAGTGGTCGCATTTGCACAGAAGAAGTGCATTATACTATACAACCCTGACCAATAGGCTGGACCCGTTGACATTAGGCAAAATGTCATTCGTTAACTGGTTAGCAGAACATGAGTTTATATTTTTGTTAAATTTATCTAAATCTACATTTCGAATAAAAACACAAGATACTGAGACTGGCCACTTCCAGCAAAGCAAATGCTCTGCTTGGCAGACGTTCAATGCTTTGTTGTGGAGGGAGAAAAAAATACAGCCACGCACGCTGCTTGCTTTTGAGACATGTTTAAGGCTTAACTAAACAACACTAATCTTGACTACGCCACAAAAAAATTACAATGCAAAAGTTATATTTCATTCGTGCGCATGAGAGCCTTTGTATTGCGGGTGCCACTGAGAGATGCACACCGACCGGCGGCCGACCGGCTGCAGCCGTTTCCTGCTGGGATGCTGCGGCCAAAGAGGAGGATCTTACCCTGCTCCAAGTCCCGCTGGTCGTACCAAGGCTCTTCCTCCTCGGTAACGAATTCGTCCATTGTTCCTGAGCTTAGCATCGATGAAGAGCACGTTTCAAACAATAGAGACTTCGACGAGATCCACCGAGCTCATTCAAGACATCAAGCCGGGGCTGCTTATTTCCTTCCTCTCTTCGCTATTTCCTCCGTCACTCCCACTCTCTCCCTCTCATCCCCCACAGCCCATCCCGTCTGCTGCTGCTGCAGAGACGTGGCAGTGATGTTGCAAGACGAGCACTTCCTGTCATTGCGGTCAGGCCTGCCTCCACGGGGAGTCGAATCAGCCTCCACTTAGTTTTCGAGTATCTGTGTTTATACTCGGAATTACGGTAAGGCGCCGAGAACGTTGTGCGAAAGTACATTTCAAAAGCCTGAAATAAATATGGGGACGTCGATGCGGTTAAATTAAGTGGTAATTTAGGAATTATTTTTTGATATCTCTCTGAAATTGTTGACATGAAGGTTTTGCGTACATTTTAAAATAGCTTTTATTTTGAAATACAACATCAAATCTCACTACAACTTCCTGCCTGTCATCCTGGGACAGTCTCGTGTGTCCAGAAGTATTGTAAAATGTTTGTGTTGTTCGAGTGATAACAGGGGAATTTTTTTTTACATCCCTCTGGAATATGATTGGAATACAGTCAAACACATTTTCAAATGACTCGTATTTTCAAATGCACCATCAGATCTGAGATATTAATATGGGAGGGTTTCGTTTTCTGTTCCCCAACAGTGTACGCTTGTGCGTGTGCGTGTGTGTAAGTGTATGTGTGTATGTTTGTATATTTGGGCTGAACAATTAATCAAATTCAAATACGGATTCAAATTCAAAGATACATGTTCTGGATTGTGCCTGAAAGAAGCCTGGAGAAGACCTACGAAATACGAATACACAGACGGCGACCTTCAAAATGCTCCCTCCCCACCGACCTGGGGTCACTGTAGCCGACAAAGGAGTTAATTTCGAGGTCGTCCTCTGCTTACGGCAATACTACCCTGAGGAAGGCCCGATCTCGGAAGCTAAGCAGGGTCCGTCCAGCCTGGTTAGTACTTGGATGGAAGACCGCCTATGAATAGCAGCAGTGGCAGTTCGAGATCAATTTCACTGAGGGGGCCTGGCTTGGGCCAGGGATTTTGAGAAAGGGGCGCATTCAACCCAGGGCAAAAAAAGACAAAGATTTGAAATCTTATTTGACTTTTTATTTCCATCAAACTCTTAAAACTTTGCAGACATAACATTACAGTGACGATGAAAAACAGAATAATAATCACAGTAAGACTGAATTAAGTGTTGATAAAAGATTCATATCGGTGCAGATCTTTTGGAACAGTTAAGACTGTTACGCTGCCCTCGTGTTACAGCAACTGTATTCTTCGATGTTGGTGATTTCTGGCAAACCAATTAACAAGTGATTCAAGATTTAGTGCTTTCGACCTCCTAGGCTCAATGCTAAGTACATACTGAATTAAGTGTTGATAAAAGATTCATATAGGTGCAGATCTTTTGGAACAGTCTTAAGCTGCCCTACAGTTACAGTAACTGTATTCTTCGATTTTGGTGATTTCTGGCAAACCAATCAACGATTCAAGATTCAGTGCTTTCGACCTCCTAGGCTCAATGCTAAGTACAAATTAATTTATTCTCTTCAGGAAAGCTCAGCAGGGTCGGGCCTGGTTAGTACTTGGATGGGAGACTGCCTGGTGCTTGAAGCTTTTGCACCCACCTGCACACAAAAACACTCTTTCACGTTATTTCGTGCTTTCATTTCTCATTATTTTCACCTCAGCCTTAACTTGGAGACCCACAACATTTAGCTGACATTTTAAAGTCTCTTATTGATGTATTGCACCTCCGCTGGAAAAGCCAACCTTCACAACAGACATCAAGTACTGCAGCTGCGTGCTCGCAGCGAACCGGATGCTCGCCTGACAGGCTGAGAGCTCAAAACGCCAAGAGTGCGCGCCCCTCGTCCGTGGAAAAAGGGAGGAGGGAAAGAAATGCAACAAATTCGCCACCTCAACCTCCAACCTGGAGGTGCCCTGTAACCTATAAAGGGGAAATTTTTGACTTTGTCATCCGCTTACGGCCATACTACCCTGAGAACGCCCGATCTCGTCCGATCTCGGAAGCTAAGCAGGGTCGGGCCTGGTTAGTACTTGGATGGGAGACCGCCTGGGAATACCAGGTGCTGTAAGCTTTTGCACCCACCTCCAATTCTCGACACAAATCAACCCCCCTTTCCTATTAATTATCGCATACATTTCTCATTCAATTTTCACTTTTGCTACGGTTTGAAATCGTTTCCGTAACTTTGATTTGACTGAGCAACGTCTTGTTGTAATACTATTATTTTCCAGAAGAGGGAGCCCTCTGGACGAGGATCGGTCATGACAGCACTTGGATGGGAAGCAGCCTGGGATTTCCGCCTGCTGGATGATTTTGCACCCCCACTGGAAAAGCCAACTTTCACAACAGACATCAAGTACTGCAGCTGCGTGCTCGCAGCGAACCGTATGCTAGCCTAACAGGCTGAGAGCTCAAAACGCCAAGAGTGCGCGCCCCTCGTCCGTGGAAAAAGGGAGGAGGGAAAGAAATGCAACAAATTCGCCCCCAATCGTCCACCCCCACTGGAGGTGCCCTGTAACCTATAAAGGGGAAAATTTTGACTCCGTCCTCCGCTTACGGCCATACTACCCTGAGAACGCCCGATCTCGTCCGATCTCGGAAGCTAAGCAGGGTCGGGCCTGGTTAGTACTTGGATGGGAGACCGCCTGGGAATACCAGGTGCTGTAAGCTTTTGCACCTTCCTGCACACATAAACGCTCTTTCACGTTATTTCGTGCTTTTATTTCTCATTATTTTCACCTCAGCCTTAACTGTGAGACCCACACCTTTAAGTGTTTGAATTTCTTCAACAATACACGTGAAGGGCGCTATTCCTGCTTGTGATACCGAGTCCTTTTGACAGCCTTAGAGTTCCCTCTTGTGGTTACTCGCTGTATTGTTTTCTGTTGTTGACAAAACCAGAGGAGCCCAAAGTGTCAGGACACAACGCTGATCCGTTCCCATTACTTTGTTGAACGACAATCTTGTAAGTTGAGGGGTTCATTGTTTTCAATAGATCGCTCTAATTTATGGCAAAAGGAGAGATGGAATCCTTTGAATGCAGTTTTATTAAAAGGAAAAAAAACGTCGTCTTCATTGCAGCACGATCGAGAACACACCCCTCGGCAAACAAAAATCACTTCCTGCTTTCCCTTACTTCAACAGCCAATCAGAATCTATCAACATAAAAACATGTTAATTAATATACAACAGAATCCAATTTAGGTAATCTTTACATGAAGTAACATGATGCTCAAACATAAAATTGTAATTAATCATATAACATAAGCTTACAATCTTATTTGTTTGTGCCTTGAAGAGGAATTGACCACAAGCACATGTGATGATATCATGATAATGTTGACTATTTGTTTTTGGTGAAGATTATGTGTTATGGAAAAATTGACCATACCATATAACTTACTTTTAGCATGAGACAGTGGGTCGTGTGTTGGTTAGCTTGGCCTACGGCACATTTGATTTTTCTGTTTTATGACCGCCTAAATAAGGTTAATGGTCAAAGCCATTGTTCAAGTAAACCAGGCCAAGAGGACATCCAAGTCTGTTTAAATGTGTTGATTTTAATTCACGTAAAGCACTTTGAGTTGAATTTTATTGATGAAAAATGCCATGAAAATAGAGTTTCATAGGTTGATCTGAAATCAGTTTATGAAAATCAATTATGCACATTTCAAATGGCTTTTTATTCTTAAAGATGGCAAGAGATATGGACAAAAACATTGTTTATATATCGTGGTGGTCGAGTAACTGACACAAATGTTTGTGTGATTTTAAATGTGTTTGCCCACCTTTATTTTTTCAGCTTTCATTTGAAATCGGCTAACATTCATAACGCGTTACCGTAATGCAGAGTCCAATGACAATATACTGAAGGCTTTCTGATTTTTTATTTTTATAGATGGTGACATTTTTTTTTTTTTTTACCGATTATGTACATCAGTTCAATATTCTTTTTGTACCGACAGCGTGAAATGACTTGGAACTGTAAACGTAATAGAATGTCGCCCTCTTGTGGCTGTAGCAGGGTATTGTTTTAAGACAACAACAGGACGGAAACACGACGAGGATTTCGGCGTTTGGGGAGAAAGCTAGCTAAAACCGCGGGCTATGCCTTTTAAATATTGGACCTTTCCATGTTTCAACTGTTAGCGGCTACTCCTATTGAGGCAGGACTAAGATGTATCACCGAAGCCTTCCGGACACGTACGGCGTAAGCAAAACCCCACAAACGACCGCGACCCAACAAAACAAGCCGTGTTCCATTGTGTTTTAAAATGGAAGTCTAGGAGCGGAAGTAGTAGCATTTGGGGGTTTGTTGGGGCAAACGACGCTTTGTTGTTGTCCGCACTAGGCTGAAAGCACTTTGTAAATGTAAATTTTGAAGTGAAATGTTCTACGTTTGAAGACCGCTTTGGCTTAAAAAAAAACCAACAACAACAACATGAAAACAAACCCATTTGGTTGGTATTATTAGCAGGCGCGTTGTTTATTTCCAGAAATAAAACACTGGTTATCGTGCATGTACTTTCGAAATAAGAGCGTTTTGTTTGATTTTGTAGTTCAAATAAACGCCCGTTTCGAGGAAAGGAGATGCGCAACGCTGTCCTTGCACACACAAAGGGATATAATCATCTTGAATTATGGCAAAGAAGGATGCAGAAGAGGTGCCCAGTTCTTCTGGCATGAACAGTGGGGCCAGTTTGAGTATCACTGCCAGCAGAGGATTGCACGGCCTCGGTCTCGGATGCCTCCCTTCCCCGGCCACAGCTCGAAGACTGCAGTCCCTCCGAAATCGGGATTTGACACTAGGGGGTGCCCTGAAGAAAACAAAGGTATCTTGTCAAATATAACGTCATCTGCATAACTGTGGTTTAAAATGGTAAGAAGCTTGAAAGTATGCACGCAAGGTAAAAAACAACGTCCCGATTCGCGAGTAATTTATGCCTGTAGAGTGACGCTGCAAGAGGTAAAGCACTGCTTTTGTCTAAATTAAGCTCCCCCCATTCACTTCCACATATCGTAGTTCATTGGCATCATCTTGGTGCCGAAGCGATTTGCAAAAATTCGTTCGTGATATATGTAATGTGTTTTTGTAGTTCATTTATCGTTTACCATCTTGGTGCCAAAGCGATATGCAAAAATTCGTTCGTGATATATGTAATGTGTTTTTAAACAGTTACAATTCAGGAGTTTTAATGTGCGATATTGTAAAAATGTCCACTTCACCCTTTTTTTTTTTAGAGCCCCATTGAAATTAGCCTGTTTTTAGGCGATAGTCCCGTCTCACTGACTCGGGACAGAACCACCGGGCTGCTATTGTCTACTTGTGCGGCAGCACTGAATTTGAAAAGTGATAAAATAGTCAACACATCAGTTCTATTTTCACTAACAGAGGCAGAACTTCATCACCACACACATTCAAATCCCGCTGGGCGCCAGGTGAGTTATGAAGGCTGATAATGCTATTCGCTAATGTGGAGACGCTATTCGATAATTCTAATGTGTGTATCCAACAACTCTATACTTAGAATAGTGTTTCAGCTTGTTCACATACATTTTCTGGAAATACAGTAGCCCACTCACAAAAAATGTCGTTGCGCAATTTCACACTTGAGAGTTGTGTATGCATTCCAGAGATCTAGTTGTGTTACAACTTCCAAGTCATAGTCGTCAGATGCTCGAAAATTCTAGGCAAGGTTTTATTTAAACAAATACTGCCATATTTCATACAGTTGTTTCATGTAACTTTTTTTTCTGTTCACCTCAGAAAACCTTTGAGCCAAACATCAATGCTGTGAGGAAGAGCAAAGATGAGTAAGTTGGATTGTAACAGAGTCCTATATATGGGTGGTCGAGTGGTTAGCGCATTGACCTCACAGTGCAGAGGTTGTGGGTTCGATCCCGGCTCCGGCGTGGGTTTTCTCCGCGTTCTCCGGTTTCCTCCCACATTCCAAAAACATGCATGGCAGGTTCATGGAACACTCTAAATTGTCCCTTGGTGTGAGCAGGCGCGCGGATGGTTATTCATCTCTGTGTGCCCTGCGATTGGCTGGCCACCTTTTCAGGGTGTCCTCCGCCTACTGCCCGAAGACAGCTAGGATAGGCTCCAGCAACCCCCGCGACCCTTGTGAGGATAAAGTGGGTCAGAAAATGGATAGATGGATGTTCTATAACACTGGTCAGAAGCAAATTTTAATCAAAGATGGCTTCATGTGTCCCTAAACATATTTTTGATGCCGATTTGAAGAAAAAAAAAAAGAAAGAAAAGAAAAAAAACATGTCTCTACTTTGTTCCGAGCACATCAGGTTTTTGAAAAATTTTTACTTTTTGTTTTAAGTTTGGCCAATAAAAGCTCGGGCAATAACGTTTTTTACCATGCATTCTAATTGAAAGCTGTGATTTTTCAGAAACAAAAACCCACTTGTTTCTGAACCTAACCCAAAAATCAATGTAATTAAATTGGACTAAATATATTTCTATATTGTCCGTGTATATAAATGATTATATTGTTGATGTATTATGTTGATTATTATTATGCAAACCTGATATGCTAGAGAAAAAAAAACGAGGAGGGATTCGGAATTGGCACCAAAAACTAGACACTTACTTGCATCTCCGAAAGAAGAAAAAAAACAAAATCTAAAAAGTTGTTGACTAATATAAATCGCATTTACCCACTTCAAATACTTGTAGTTACAGATTAAAGGAAGAGGCTCAAGTGATACCAAAAAGGGAGCGGAAACAGCGGGATAATAGAAGAGGAGAAAACAGAGGCAGGAGGAAAGAGAAGCCGCAGACTATCCAGTGTCACTCCATCTTTGAACAGGGCCCTGCCGACACGCCGCGGAAAACAGGTTCATGTCGATGATATTTTGTGCAACGTTGCGTCTTCGCTTACACCTAAGACATCTTCAATCTTGTAGGCTGGGTTGCTGCTGCGGGAGTTTGTGATGCCACCGCATTTCCGAATTGTAAAACTGTAAAAAAAGAGCCACAGGACTCCGATGATGAAGATGAGCTACTCAGAAAACTGCAGAGGGATGATGTGAGTGACTATTTTCATTCTGGGTCATGGAAGTCTTTGTAAATCCAACAAAAGAGAAAATCCATTTCTCTACCTCGCTAATCAACATTGTTTTTATTTTTATTTTTAGATGTCGCTAATCAACATTGTTTTTTTTTTTTAAATTTTTTAATCATTGTCTGTCTGTACATCCGGCAGTTCATAAGTGACCCGAGTTTGAGGAATGACGCCAAGCTGAAACCTATCCAGTTACCTTTGTGTCAGACGAGCACAACCTGTAAGAAAACCAACCGCTATGCAAACACCTTACCATGGCATGTCCATGACCTTATTTTCCTCTGCTCTTGGCTCGCGTTGTTTTTAAAGCAAGCCAAGAGAAGCCTCTTCTTCTCGCATCGCCATCCAGTGGACCTCAGCTTAAAACAGGCCATAACAGAGACCAGCCATCTTTAGTGGAGATCCTGCAGTGTCTCTGCCTGTCCGGCAAGGAGGAACTCTTCTTCATGCAGTTACCTGACTGTATGCCCGTAAGAGAACAAAAAGCAGAACCAAGTCCTGGACCGAGATTTGAGAAAGTTACCAAGGACAAGAAACCTCTGCATGGGAAAGCACAAGTTGAGCCAACAGTGGGTATTTCACGAATTATTTGTTACATGTAAGGTTCATGCACAAAAAAAAAAAAAAAGACCGAATTGACACACCCACCCGCAAAAGTGGCTCACTGACCCATTTTGGGTGGGTGTTTTTCTTGAAATTGGCTATTCATGTTGCCAAACGTTTAGAAAAGGCAGACTGGGTGACGGGATATCTTTTCCTTGCGCTTAGTGTCACTTCAGAATTATGTTTCGCCGACACATGAGCCTCCCTGAGCGTAGCCCATAAATGATATTAAAAAAAAAAAAAAAAACATGTAAATGAAACACCTAGGGCAATGGCATGGCAAATAATGTGTTGGGCTGCACTGCATCATTAAATTTAGATGTCAAATCGGGCCACAAAGTATCATCCTGAAGGCCCCAAATGGCCCCTGGTACATGATTTTGAGACCATTCCACTGTCAAAAACAGTGTTGTTGTTTTACGCATTATATATAATTTTTTAATCGTCCGATTAATCGGTAATCTTTTTTTTCTGCCAATTAATCGACATGTAATTGACGTCTGCCGAAATGCATTTGTGGGGGTGTTGTTGTTTTATGCATTTTATATATATATATATATATGTGTGTATATATATATTTTTTTTTTTTTTTAATTAATCGTCTGATTAATTGGTAATCTGTACTTTTTTCTGCCCCCCAAAAATTGGCATATGATTGATGTCCACTGAAATGCATTTGTGGGGGGTGTTGTTGTTTTATGCATTATATATATTTTTAATCGTCTGATTAATCGGTAACCTGTTTTTTTTGTTTTTTTTTGCCAAAAATCGGCCTTGGCCTAAAAAAAAAAATCAGTATCAGTCAGGCCCTAGTATACAGCATATGATATTTATACTCCTCATCCATGAATTGCTGTGTCAGTCCTTGCTTCTTTCCAGGAGTCCCCTTCAGTGACGTGCTCACCTGTTCTGTCCGAATTCCCAGAGGGATTTCTGGGCAAGCTCCGAATACGAAAATCTGGAAAGGTGGAGATGAAGCTGGGTGATATTGTCATGGACATCACTGATGGAACTGCTTTGTCATTCCTCCAGGTAATTAAAAAGGGGTATTAAGGTGATCATGTTCGGTTTTTAATGACACTGTCGGAGAGGTACCAAATAATAGACATGATGGACTTCAAAAAAATGAAATCATTTGTGGTTTGCTGTTTTCAGCAACTGGTGTCCGTGAATCTGGCCGACGGTAAGACCGGCGACATGATGGTGTTAGGGAACATCCAACATAAACTGGTCTTATCTCCAAATTTCCAAACATTATTGGAGGAATCAACCCAACAGCAACAAGGATCCTGATCACCTCATCAGCAGATGATATCACAGACTGCATGACAGAAGTGTATTTTTGTAGTTTTGGATTCATCTTTTCGGCAGCCTGCAGTGCTTACCTTCAATACTCAACGTTCCAACATTAAAAAAATGTGAAAAATGTATTATATGTTGAAAAATGTATAAAGATGTTGAATCGTTCTCAAGTGTTTAAAACTTCATTTTTGTATCAAGCGTATTTATTAGAATCTTTATAGTACCGTATTTTCCGCACTATAAAGCGCACCTAAAAGCATTCAATTTTCCCAAAAGCCGACAGTGCGCCCTATAATCCGATGCGCCTTACACATGGTGTCACAGTCTCTTTATATTCTACATTGAGTTTTGTATCAAACGTATTTATTAGAATCTTTATAGTATCGTATTTTCCGCACTATAAGGCGCACCTAAAAGCATTCAATTTTCCCAAAAGCCGACAGTGCGCCCTATAATCTGATGCACCTTATATAAGGTGTCACAGTCTCTTTATATTCTGCATTGAGTTGTCCCTGTTAGTGTTCCTCTGCCATCTAGTGGTGATTATTAGCAGGAACCAATTGTAACCGAAAAGGGTTCTTTCTGCCCGTAGCGCAACCACAGCCACTATTGTTGCTTCTATTCTATGCGCCTGATAATGCGGCACGCCCTATACATGAAAACTGTTTCGAAATAGGCCATTCATTGAAGGTGCGCCTTATAATTCGAAACGCTTTATCGTGCAGAAAATACGGTAATTGTTTGAAATAGTACAAATGAGAATTCAAAGTTGTCTAGCTGTGAGCTGTTTTCCACTCCACTGATTTTTATTGATATGAAGTTTTTACCATGGTATTGTTTTTCAGGATTGGTACAGTATTGAGGTCAAAATGCCTATGCTTTTTTTTTTTTTTTTTTTCGTTTTTCAGGATTGGTATTGAGGTCAAAATGCCTGTTTTTTTTTGGGGGGGGGGGCGGTGGTTCATTCAAATGTTCAACAGTTAATGTGTTTATGTGGAGTCACATGCGAAGGTTTTAAAATATTGACTCCAAACATTCTTAAACTGTTGAGTTTTTTTTTTTTCTGTACTGCAGAGGATTCATTTTCAGTAAAGATGCTCGCTGTACATAATTTCTCAAATACTGTCCAGTACTCCTTTTTAGTGCCTATTCCGCGGTGGTTTCTGTCTTGATATTACATTTTTCAGATGTTGTCTTTTGTTTTTCACTACCTTTGCTTTGATCAGGTTTTGTACAGATGGTAGTTTTGATTTGTGATAAAAACATTGTAACAGTGCTACAGAACTCTTCCCAGAAACGTAAAATGTTTTTTTTTTTGTCTGGAAAAAAAGCTGAAAAAACGGGAGTGACCGCGTCGAAGAACAACCAGTTGCAACAATTTTGCTACATCAAATATGGATTTGTAAAATATTCTATGACTGTCTTTTGATGGGCACTTTGTAAATACTGTTTATAATTTTCATTCCAGATTTTTTTTTCAGTGCTACTTTAACGGTTCTTATCGATTTGAATTTTTCTGAATTTTTTTTCCCTCATGCGTTGTGTCAGGGCAATGACATTACAACTTCAAGTGTATGTAAACGTTTATTGAATACACGATACAAAAGGTCAAATCCTAAGAGTATGTTCTTAATGGCGGTGACTTAACGTTATTGGAGACTCAAAAAACAAAACTAGAAAACCCTAAAAGACAAAATTTCATGAAATGTTAAACATCACTTTTCATCTTTTGGATGAAAGAGAATTAAGGAAAATATAAGCAACAGGCATGTTATTTTTTCTTTTTTGTTTTTTTCTGGGGGGTGTTGTGTTCCCGCACACCCACGTAATCAGCGGTATGGATGGTCGGTATGGATGTTACAGAGACATTTGATCATAAAAACATTTGTCACATCTGCACGAGCTTATGTCACATAAAAACGAGTGCAGAGCAATGATACCGACTTCAGTCAAGTTGCCATTCTTGCACACACTCCCAGTCTTCCGAGTGTGGAAAATACCGTCAAGTAAGACTGAACTAGCTGCACCGCATGCCGAATACATCGAAAATAGGAAAATATTCCAAAACCTCCAGTCTTACAAAATGACTGTTAGCACTTACAAAACTAAACGCAAATTTCAAATCAATTTTGATCCAATCCCATACATTATTCTTTTTAAAAATGTATCCATTAGTTTTATTTCAAGACTCCATCCATCCATTTTCTGATCCGCTTTATCCTCACAAGGGCCGCGGGGAGTTCTGGAGCTTATCCTAGCTGTTTTCGGGCAGTAGGCGGGCGACAAATCGGTTGCCAGCCAACCGCAGGGCACACAGATGAACTACCATCCGCGCTCACACTTACACCTCGGGACAATTTAGTGTTCAATCAGCCTGCCATGCATGTTTTCCGAATGTGGGAGGAAACCGGAGTACCCATAGAAAACCCACGCAGGCACAGGGAGAACATGCAAACTCCACACAGGGAGGCCGGAGCTGGAATCAAACCTGGTACCTCTGCACTGTGAGACGCGCTAACTACTGGACCACTGGGCCACCCTTATTTCAAGATTCTTTTCTGTAAATCGCTAATTTTCCAAAAATCATCAATCAATATACATTATTAAATGAATACCTTTGAGCATGATATTCGTAAAGTCAGAGCGTTTTGTACAACAAAATCATGTTAAATGCTGAATGATGTTTTGGCCATTGAGAGATTATGGCAGCTGCTCTCGATTTTGATTTTGAACCCTTTCATGCACTCTGTAACCTGATAACAGAATAAACTGTCCACTGCTGTGCCTGAGACGGTTAATGTTCCATGGTGTCCTTCAGGCCAATGTTGGACCATAACAACTAAAGAGACAACCTCGAGCTTTAATTCACTTGATCACTTCAATTACATATCCAAACCTCACAAATTAGTCAACCGATCAAATTAAGTCAAGCCTGTACGGCAAGAGGGTGGATGTTGATAGCCTTTAATTCGTGGAGAACCTGATAACATTTGTGCCAGTCTAAACGAGAGGAGAAAGCAACAAAACACAGATTTGTGTCATCAGAACATCTGTCTAATAGTAGTCTGTAAAACTCCAACCCCGCCCCCAAAAAAAGATTAAGTCTTTTTTGTCTTTTTGACAACTCTTGTCACAGTGCTTTTTGTCTTCTTGACAGTTCTTGACTTGGCTTTGGCGGCGGCGAGCTTCTTTGCTGCCTCTCTCTTTTTCTTCTTGGCCTTTTCGGCTTCGGCGGCTTTTCTTCTCTGGCTCACCAGAGTCTTGTCTCTGAGCAGGTCGCCTCGTCCAATTTCCATCATGTGGTCTTCCCATGACGTGATCTCATTCTTGTAGCGGATTTTATCATCCTCAGCCAGCTGCGCATAAACCTGAAATGGTGAGCCAAGTGATATTTAGAGACTGGGTAGTTTGCAAAAAAAAAAAAAAAAAAAAAGGATTGTGAGGGCAAATAGATAATATATTATTGCATAAATGACCAAACACTGACGCGGGCATTTAATTACCGTTATTTTCCGCGCTAAAAGGCGCACTGGATTATGAGGCGCACCTTCAATGAATGGCCTATTTTGTAATTTTTTTCATATATTGCACGCACTGGACTATAAGGTGCAATCTACAATGCATCCACTAAAATTGAAAAAACAGTAATGCATCAAAACAGAAAATCACAAAATAAATTTTATAGCCCCCCCGACAGAATTTATTTTGGAATTTCCTTGAGCGTAGCGGCAACAGAACGATCAGATGTCAGTAAATTCGAGGAGACTGGACTGTCTCAGAAGTGTTTGTTATTTATACCTTTGTTGTGTACTGTATTCACAAACGAGGAAATCACAAAATAAATTCTGTACTGGGGCTATAGAATGTATTTTGTGATTTCCTCGCTTGATTTTCTGTTTTGATGCATTATTTTCAATTTTCGTAGTTTCATTGAAGGAATCGTTAATGTACGTTTTTTCCGAGGTGGTCTTGAACGCCTCCTCGAGTTGAACGGAAGAAGAGAAGGCACGGAGACGGACAAAGACGTACCTGTATTTGTTGAGACTGTGAAAACCATTAATAAAGTGTGCGTTTTAAAAAAAAAACACCACAGTTCTCCTTTTTTCGGAGCTGCAACAAAAACTTATTTACTAAAACAGCGACACAGTTCACTGAACCAACAGCAAGTTATCACATTGTAAGCATGTCTTCAGCATGGAGCCATCTTGGGATCGACATATTACCGTAATGACCATACACAAGGCGCACCGGATTTTAAGGTGCTGTGAGCTTTTAAGAAAATGGAAGACTTTTCGGTGCGCCTTATAGTGCGGAAAATACGGTACCTCCCCTAGATTGTTCGATGAGTCTATTAGGAAAAAAATGTTTATGGGTACGTACATTTTTTTAAAAACTCAATTCCATCCAAGATAATGTTGAAATATTTTGCTTTCTCTTTAACCCTTTTCAGGGACAGCGGTCACTACAGTGGACAGCTTTTCAGGTTATAGGTTGTCATTATTTGTGCATGAAAGGGTTAAAAGCTAAGTTTGAACTTCAACTTTGCAGGGAGTTTGTGATGTGTTAAAAAAAAAAAAAAATGCGAAAAATGGTGGCATAATTCAGGTAATTGCTGACCATCTCATTTGCTGACAAATTAAAACAAATATACAAACTTAACGGAAAAAGTGAATACATATAAACTTGTGTTCCAGTTTAGGACATGCACTGAATTTTTTTTTCCTTTCGTCTCCAAATTCCCTAATTTTGAAATGAACTAAAAGTACATGTAAAATTATTAAGGCCTACCTGCTTCTGATTGCCGAAAAGTTTCTTCCAGTCGCCCAGCAAAGTCTTCATCTTTGCCTAGAACGCAACACGTGACATACTTTTTATTCAATATAAATTCATCATGACGTGTCAGGAGGTTTAAAAAAAAAAATGTTGGCAATGGGGGTTTGAGAGGCCTATCGTGAAAAACCTGTTATGACATACTTTTTATTCAATATAAATTCAAAAAAATGTTGGCATGGGGGTTTGAGAGGCCTATCGTGAAAAACCTGTTGCGAAGTACAATAGAAGTAGTATCATTGTGGAGAATTAAAAGTAAGCAAACACACATAGATCAAATCGGTTGTACCGTTGAGTACTAACCTGTGTGTTTTCTCCCTTGGCTTCCACAAAGTGTTCGGACATAAAGATGTTGAATGCCGTGCGAGGACGTTTTGGCTTCCCCATGACGGTTGCTTCCTAGATTACGTTGAAAAACATTTAAAGCTCAAATCACCAACCAGCTGTGGGACGATATGTTATGTCACACAATAAAAATAAATAAATAAAATAGAAATCTGACGTCAATTTCTGACAGCAAGTTGTGAGTTCCCACAAAGCAATTGAAAAACATTCAAAGTTCAAATCACCAACCAGCTGTGGGACGATATATGTCACACAATAAAAATAAATAAATAAATAAAATAGAAATCTGACGTGAATTTCTGACAGCAAGTTGTGAGTTCCCACAAAGCACAGAAATTCCAAATCACATTCGCTCTCCGCGGCGTGATGCCCAATTTAGATTTGTTTTTCTTTTATACGACTTATAACGTGAATGCAAGGCGCCCGTGATGCGAGGTGCATGCGCACAAAGCACGACGGTTGAATGGGGCGGACAAAAGAAACAAACAAAAAAAATATATATAAAATAACTACATTACATGGCACATTGTTGATGGATGTCTATATGTTTGTCGGGGCTCATCTTATCATCTCATATCGCCAAGATAATGAGGCGGGAGGAGGGAGAAATATTTTGGGGAAATGAGACGACACTCCTCAATATCATTTCATCTCAACTCAACTATATTTAAAACAACCACCGCTGTATACAAAGTGCTGTGCATGGAGCAAATATCATATATATGCAGTAATCCCTCGCGATAACGCGGTTCACCTTCCACGGATTCGCTGTTTCACGGATTTTTTTTGAGTGCCGTTTTTTTTAATGCTTTCTTTTAAACAGTGAATTGTGTTCTGCATCCTGATTGGCTAAGGGACTGAGCAACGTGAACAGTCTCCGGACCTCGTCTCTGTACAGCTTGCCAAATTTACCTTTGCAAATTTTTGGTCTTTGGTTTCATTGTATCAGTGGCGGATGCTGGTCTGTCAAGGAGGGGAAGCTCAATTTCGGCCTACGTCTCCGTTCCTTTTCAAAACAACGAAAAGGATGCCTTCACCATAAGATCGGTTTAGTTCTTGGTACCTCCAATAGCATTTGGTCCGCAGACCTGAGGCAGGTGCGTCGGGGCGAAGGAGCTCAGACAGGTAAGGTGGAGCGAGGCCATTTAAAGATTTGAAAACAAATAATAGGATCTTAAAAAGAACTCTAAAATGTATCGGGAGCCAGTGAAGGGAAGCTAGAGTAGGAGTAATGTGCACCCTCTTACGAGTACCAGTCAAGAGGCGAGCAGCAGCATTCTGGACCAACTGGAGACACTTAATGGAGGATTGGTTGACTCCAAAGTAAAGTGCATGGAAACGTCTCCTAAAGATGACGTCATATCATTGCCGGATGTCATAAATGAACCGCCTGCGTGGTTGAATGACAACTTTCACCACGTGTCAACTTGATGACAACTTTCAGTCGTCTCCCTGCCGTGCACTCTCCCTCGGCCGCGCTTTTGATGATGTGTAAGGCCGCGTGATGAGCGTTGATACTGCAGACGCATCGCTGACATATCTAATTTACATCCACATATGAAAGATCGCATTTGGATCGCAATAAATAATGGAATTGTATCGTTCACACTGCATGAAAAAAAATATCATTCGTCGCATATGGGCAAAAATCAATCAATCAATACATCGGAATTGTGCGGCAGTGTCAAGCTAGCCTTTCCTTACCCTCTTCTTGCGGAAGGCCTTCCTTTTGGCCTTCCTCTGTCTCTTCTCAAGCACTTGCTGTTCGAGCTCTGCGGGGGTCAGCTGGGCAAGGTACTGCTGCAGATCGATCTTAAACTGCTCCTTCTCCCGCAGGAATGCATCTTCAAACGGCTTCGAGGGAGAGACCAACCAGGTGATTTAGCACTACGTTAGCTCATTTCAGCATTTATACGGTATTAGGATGGAATGATTTTGAAAAACACGCATTTTATTTGCCCTCGATGTTGTGATTGTGATTCATTTTTCCCTCCCAAGGTCCCTTTTCCCCACAATTTTTTTTAAACAAACACAAGCAATAAATTAATCAGTATTACAATTAACAATATCAGATATTATACGTAACGTCACAAAACTCCACCAAACCCGTATGGCGTCAACATAAATCACTTTTCAGTCATATTTCAAATTACAACAAATCTGTGGCTGGATCGCTTCCATTTTTCATGTTTCGTGAAAGAATCATGTGAAAGCATGTTGACTGAACTTCTTAAGCACTAAACGTATTTACACACCATATAAATACATTACACATAGATAAAAAAATAAAGCTTTCTTGATTAGAATGAAGCATTTTTAATTTTTATTTTTAATAGCCTTTGCGATGTGAACGTTTCTTTTTACGACACTGCACATACGGTGGCACCTTTAAAGTTGAAAAGAATCCCTGAGGTCGTACACTATGGAATTTGACAGTATGTGTAAGTATTGTACTGTTTTTACGAACCCGTGTATTTCCTTTTAAACATGGGTGACGCTTTTGCTTGATTGGGAATTTAAAAATGTTACTTATGTCGTGCCTGTACCAAGTCAGACAGTCACCTTGAATGGATTATTTTCCGGTTCCGATGAAGCGATTAAGGTGAAATACCTGTTTCTGTTCCGGTCTCATCAATTTCCACTCCTGAGCTAGCTTCCTGATGGCCTCTACATGTTTGAGTTCTGAAGGAAACAACAAGATTACATCGAACAGTTCTATCAGCGTCAATTTGAAATTGCATAATCTTGAAAAGAAAAAAAAAAATAGCTGCAGCAGCGCAGAAGAGCGTCGCACTGCGTAGTTCCTCATTGCAGACTGAAAGAACGTGAGATGCATGTGTTGCACCCTACCTGGGTTCTGACTCACAATGACCGGCTTCTGTTGCAAAACGTATCTCATGTATCCATTGAGAGGCCTCTTTGGGGGGCCGCTGGCTTCGGTGGACAGGCATTTAACCGGGTTCCTGTATGCAGCATGGGTGACTCTGGTCCACCAAAGACACAAATATTAGTGTACAGGGCACAATTAGTCTGGGACAGGAGCAGCCACACCGCACGACTATTCTGTAAACAATCACAGGGCAGCTAAGCCACTGGCCAATGGACATCATGGTGAGCGATGACAAAATTAGCAACTTCTAGCTTTTAAACAGCACTCTCACGTAAGGAATACAATGGCATTTTTTTTTTATCTTAATGATTCAGACTGCTACTGTGATTGATGTTGCAGGTTCTTAAAAAGAAGAGCCAAGACTTAAGTAAAATATTGAGACAGTACTTTGTGCGATTGTGATATTTCATTTTCCACGATCAATTGTTGCATATGGAGTTGTCATGTTCATGCTCAGTTTCTTAATATGGTCCTCTGAAAGGCACTTTGAACATATAAGTAAGTACATGCTCAGGTAAAAATATAATACGCAAACAGTACTAGTTGTGAAAAAAATAGTTTTTTTTTTTTTCATGCTAAGGCAAAAAATTATCATATGCAAAGGGTATAGACTATTTTTTTTTTGTCAATGTTTTAAAAATGGGTCACGATTTATCGACAGTAAGAAAACCCACTTCCCACCAAAGGTTCCAACAATGAGAAGTGGAGAACCGCCCCCACAATATTTCGATAATTATCGTATCATAACTTTCGTGATTTTGTATGGTGACGTTTCGATAGTTTTACGTCACAGTTCGTTACACCACCCCTAATATAAAAATACACGGTGCTCATTTCTGTTTCAATATATCAATTAAAAAAAACAGTTGATCAAATAATGTAATTTTCCACACATTACTCAGGGAAATTTTGTTAAAACTGCAACGTAAAATGAAATGCTCAGATTCACGATTCAAGATGAACAACTTGCGGTTGAGAGCGTGGACTCGGTGGTGCAGAAGTGCCCTGCATCACACTGGGAGCTGTGTCAAGTATATTCACCATTTTATTTTGCTATATTGGACCAATCGACAACATTAAACAGTAAAATGTAATGTACATCTAGTCAATGACAAATTACTCTCCCAACGAATGCACAAAGGCTCATGCAGTTCTCGGATGGCCCACAAACACCCTAACTTGGCAAGAATCATTCGGTAACTTATTGAACTATAGGCAAATAGTGCACTCACCATGCAAAATACAGTTTAAATTCGATTTTATTATTGTTGTTTTTGAGATTCTTGGGGGTGGGGGAGCATGCTGCACATCAATAGCCTACAACCAATGATTGGGCTAATGTTAGCTTTGTCGCCAATCCTAAAAGTACTACTTCTACTAGAAGCTATTAGAGTACAAACTTAGCAGCAGCAAAATTAGCTACCTTGCCAGAGTGCTTGTGCAAGTGAAGACATTGAAGGACCTCGCCAGAAGACCGACACTTGCTGTCACTAAGCCGAACGGAGCCATGCCGGCGTTGTTGACACCTAAAATGACGTCAGCAGGAGCAAACAAAAACAATCGTATGACTTAAAAAAATCCACGGCGATATTATAAGAATGCATTCAGCAGCTTGCAATCATGCACACATGCAGCAACCCAAACTGCAGCAAAAGGCGCCTTCAATCGTCCCCGGTGGATTGTGGGTATGAATAAAAATATCTTCTTCTTTCACTACCGCCACCAACTGTTCCGGAGGGTAAAACACAAATCAGTGGACGCCCATTATTCCCGGATCATAGGTCACGTTAAAGGGCGAACATTTTTACCAAAAACGTCTTGGGAAAAAACGCTGATGAACCACGAATACGCGTTTTCCACGATAAAACGGAAAAAAATAAAACAAAAATAAAAATAAATACAACAAAAAAAGAAAAAATGTCTTTTTTTTTAACGATGCAGAATTCTGTTTAAAGGCTGAACACAAGAGGGCGACATTACTAACAATAACTGCTAACCGAGTCACATAAACTTGCTAAGGCCAATCAGTACCGTAATTAGGCATCAAATAGTTAAAAAACAAAACAAAACACCGAGGCTAATGGTAGAGCTAATAAGAAAGACTTGATCGTCTTGATTCTTGTTCGTTTTCTTGACCGATGTCTCATCTCAAATTAGGTATTTTAAAATATAAAATGCAAAAGAAACGCTAATTATTATTTACTGAGCGCTACTACACAATGTCTAGTCTGAATGGTGATACAGCGTTTTGCTTTGGTAAAATGTTAATAACTTGACAAAAATAGCTGAGGTGGAATTTACATCGTCAAGTCACTCTATCACTGGAACAAAACACGCAAATCAATTCAGTTAATGGTTGTGTGATTTATTTCAATAATTTTCCAACTTTAAGTTAACATATTTTCAATCATGAAAAATTAGGTAAATGAGGTGAGATTCCTACCTAAAATCAGATCAGCTCTAAAATGCATCATATGACTCGGCGTTGATCACGTGGGTCACAAAATATTGCTCGTTAAAATGCGATGCGTTTCCTTCTTTTGATTGGCTACAAGTTATAAAACAAAACGCAAAACCTCCTCTGATTGGCTAGTAGTTCCCAGGAACGAGAAGCTGTCTGGTTAACTACAAATGGAGCGATCGTGCTGTTTTTAAACCTGATCTGCGGTGGGAAATCCGTCGTAGGGATCGAAATGTCTGGCAGGGGCGATTGCAGCCTGTTTGTCGTTGTCTTGCTCTACCTTTGCGTAACTGCTACGTGTAAATTTCCCACTTTGGATCACTTGAAGGCGCAAGCTAGCGACAAGACACAGGGCAGAGCTGTGGTCGAGTTGCTGAGACGCCTCCTGGGGAACAGATCCACTGAGTTCATCGTCATAGTTAACAAGAGCCTCTCTAATGACAGCCTGGATGTGTGCGAGCTCAGGTCGACTAAAAACAACAGGATAGTTGCCACGGGCAACACCGGAGTGTCCGTGGCCTCTGGGATTTACAATTACTTGAAATATTTCTGCAACTGCCACGTTTCCTGGTCCGGTGATCAGTTGAATCTTCCCCGTCCTCTTCCAAAACTCTCCGGTGTGCTCCGCATCAACACCCAGCACAGGTCAGTGACCCCCGTGTCCCACCCGTGTCGACTGTCAACACATTGACGCGTGGGTACTGTATGTTCTGACAAAACTATGTAACTCTTATCAATCGCGCGTTTTCAACAACGCCGCTAATTTTTGTTTCCTTTTACTCTAACGTGGACTGATCTATGCTTGTGTTGGCAATTTGTAACACTTTCTTTCTCGGGCCAGTAGTTTTTTCTGATAATCCATTAAAATTGATTTTATTTTACTATAACTGTCAAGGGTATTGAAAGAAAACGAACGAAATTAGTAAAATTTGGAAAAAAAAGGAAACTGACACCATATAATTTTAGCTAAAATGTCCTTCGTTTTCGTCTTTGTCAATGAACCTTGTAGCGACGGTGAAGCCACGCAGTTGTAAGCTTATGTTATATTATTAATTATTATCATTTTATGTTTGAGCATCATATTCTTTCGTGTGAAGAATACCTAAATTATAGTCTGTTGTTTAATAATTGCTGAGACATATTTTTATGTTGATAGGTTCTGATTGGCTGTTGAAGTAAGAGAAGCAGGAAGTGCTCTGATAATTCATTAAAATAGATGTTATTTTACGATAACTGTCAAGGGTATTGAAAGAAAACGAATGAAATCAGTAAAATTTGAAAAAAAAAAAGGAAACTGACACCACATAATTTTAGCAAAAATGTCCTTCGTTTTCGTCTTTGTCAATGAACCTTGTAGCGACGGTGAAGCCACGCAGTTGTAAGCTTATGTTATATTATTAATTATGATCATTTTATGTTTGAGCATCATATTATTTCATGTTAAGAATACCTAAATTATAGTCTGTTGTTTAATAATTGCTGAGACATGTTTTTATGCTGAGACATATTTTTATGTTGATAGGTTCTGATTGGCTGTTGAAGTAAGAGAAGCAGGAAGTGATTTTAGTTACGAGGAGAGTTGTGTTCTCGAGCGTGCTGCGTTGCAGACATCTCTCTTTTTTTCCCCTTTTAATAAAACTGCATTCAAATGATTCAATCTCTCCTTCTGCCGTTCGTAAAGTAGAGCTTTCCACTACAAACAACAAACCCCTCAATTTACATATTTAACAGCATGCTTGTAAGTAGTTGTATTTTGTTGTCTTTGGTTAAAATTTCGTCTTTATTTGGCGTCTCACAAGTGTATCTGTGATGTCTTTGAGATGAATAGCAAAGCAGAATCAAGAAGGGTAGAAGTGCCATAATAAGAAGCTTGAAGGCGAACTTAATAAGCAGGCAGTCGGTTCTGATTGGCTGTTGAAGTAAGAGAAGCAGGAAGTGATTTTAGTTACGAGGAGAGTTGAGCTCTCGAACGTGCCGCGTTGCAGACGTCTCTCTTTTTTCCCCTTTTAATAAAACTGTATTCAAATGATTCAATCTCTCCTTCTGCCGTTCGCAAGGTAGAGCTATCCACTCCAAACAACGAACCCCTCAACTTACATATTTAACAGCATTCTTGTAAGTAGTTGTATTTTGTTGTCTTCGGTTAAAAAATTCGTCTTTATTTTGGTGTCTCACAAGTGTATCTGTGATGTCTTTGAGATGAATAGCAAAGCAGAATCAAGAAGGGTAGAAGTGCCATAATAAGAAGCTTGAAGGCGAACTTAATAAGCAGGCAGTCAGTTTGTTGGGTGACTGGGCGTGAGCTGTGGCCCACAGCAGCTCCTGAATGAACGTGGATTGTGTTTCCGCTTGTGGGAAGAAAGCAGCTGAAGAACTTCGGCAACTGTGTCTTCCTTTTAAACACAAACAAGGGTGTTACAATATCATACATGAGCTTTGGGGGTTCATTTTAAATGTATTTGTTTAGGTCTTGTTGTATGTTTCTTGGCGGCCCGGTGGACGACTGGTGAGCACGTCGGCCTCGCAGTGCAGAGATGCAGGGTCCTCTGTGGAGTTTGCATGTTCTCCCCGTGCCTGCATGGGTTTTCTCCGGGTACTCCCAAATAGTTTATTTTTATGAGGTGTGAAAGACAGGTCAGTGTTGCCTCTGGGCATTTTCAGCTGTCAAATGGCAAGATGTGAGCAATGGGGCACCCATCATTGCTACTGAGTACATAAAAAAATAAAATAAACAAAAAACAAAAACGTGTGCATGACAAATACAGCATTGTTACTCCTTATGTTTCATTGTTTACTTCCGGGCGCAAAGAAAACTTGCGGCGGCTATGTCCTTTAAAAGGACTATTTCTCTCAATTAACTGTTGGGAATTAGACCCGCATCAGCTCACCCCAGTTATGTCATGTTGCGCAGACTGAAAAAGCCATGTGAAGCATGGCAAAGTGTGGCACCATTTGTTTTTCCCATGACTGGATAATAGTCGAAGGCAGGGGCATTAGACTTCATGGTTCATAATCTTGGTTGTCCTCAGGGAGTTTGTTATGGTGTGGTATGCTAAATATCACCTTTTTTCCCCCCCCAGCATGTACCTTGTTTTGGTTCTGTAAGAGATGCCAAGTGTGCTTGCTTCCAGCATGTCAAGAGCAATTGACATTAACTGTAAAAGTAACACACATAAAACAATTAAACATTGTGTATTCAAGTTAAAATAAATAAATAAACAAACAGCACATAGGCAAGATAATGGAAATTGGCATCTAATGTTGCTGGAACAATTGCTTTGTTGTACTTGTATGTACTGTATCTATATTTTGTGAGTTTCACAGTGTGGTTCAGTAAGAACCAAAAACAAGTTCCGGCGCTCACTGGATTTATTGAATTGACTTGAGTAACACTAGAATTGGTGAGACCAGAATTGTCAGGAAGAAAGGTCTTTGATCACAGTAATCTGTCATTGTGTTTGTTAAAAAAAAAAAAAAAGATCAAATGTGCTGGTGCTATTGGTGCTCAGTACCAGTAAGTACACAAAAGTGAATACTCATTTGCATATTGGTCTGACGAAGAAAAGGAAAAGTGGTCTAGAACAGGGGTCCCCAACCTTTTTTGCCCCACGGACCGGTTTAAGTCAGACAATATTTTCAGGGACCGGCATTTAAGGTGTGGCGGATTAATACAACAAAATAATATGGTATGAGCTGCATGAAAACTGTGGTGTTTTCGAAATATAATAATAAACACAAGGAGCGTCTAATCTGGTCGCAACACTCTTATCGCTCTGGTAATGTTTAATGCCTTCAAAATACGATACAACGCAAATTCAAAGTGCATGAAAATGACGACTCACCACAGCCCCGAGCTTGATTTTCTGCAATCAGACAGTCCCATCTCGGAGTAATAGGAGACAATGACACCTCAAGTGTGTGGTTTATGTCCAGTCTACTTCGTAATTTTGTTTTAGTCGCTGTTGCTGCAGAAACTCCCCACCTCACACAGGTAGGATGTCGGAAATAGCAACAGTGCTATTGTGGCGATCTCAGAGTATTCAGCCATAACTTTGATCCAGTAGTTTCGAACGTACTTTTAAGGCCGCCGTCATTTGCGATCTCCAAGCAGCTTTTTTACTCATTTTGCTGGCTTCAGCGTTTTGTTTATGAGCGTCATCGGTCACGTGACCGAGAAGTGTGCCTTGACGTGAGTCAAGCGTGACACAGACGGATGTAACAGAGAATCCGGTAATTTTTCAAAATAAAACATATTTCGTATTCCGAAATAAATAAAACGGAAATAAGGCAAGTTCTTTCTGTGCGGCCCGGTACCAAATGCCCTGCGGACCGGTACCGGTCCGCGGACCGGCGGTTGGGGACCCCTGGTCTAGAACATCCCTGATTAAGTCTCCTTTCGAGGGTGACTTTTTTTCGGGACTCCTACGGGATTCCCACGGGATGGGAGTCAATGTTACCTTTAACCATGGGATTAGGATGGTAAAGGCTAAAAAATTCACTAGAGTAGATGGGAGTGGGATTATTCAGTGGGAGGGGTACTCTACCCTTTCATCCACCTGTATCCTCATAAAAATGATAACCTGTCCACTGTCGTAACCGCTGTCCCTGAAAAGGTTAATGTAGCTGACTTCCAAAATGTGTGCGGTACAGGAGTGGAAGTCATTTTCGCAGGGAGCGGAACAGGACAGGATTAAAAAAAAAAAAAAAAAAAAAAAGAAGACCTGCTGCTTCTTCTCATTTAATTTACGAATCATTGCCTCCAGTTATTCAGGATTTTATCTGGTGGCAAATTCCTTCATCTGTAATCCAGCGGAACCTCGGAAATTGAATACAATCCGTTCCAGGGTGTTGGTCCTGGGCGACCTCAGATTTGTGCGACTGTTGAATCATTTTTTTTTTTTTTACAAAACAGCGTCCACGTTTCATTTTGTGTTTATTAACATTTTGTCTGTGTCCAGGTTTCGCTACTATCAGAATGTCTGCACCGTTAGCTATTCGTCTGTGTGGTGGGACTGGCCACGGTGGGAGAGAGAGATTGACTGGATGGCTCTTAATGGGATTAATCTTCCACTGGCTTTCACTGGTCAAGAGGCCCTGTGGCAAGAGGTAAGTGCAAAATCCTTCGAAAGCCAAATCTTGATCTCTCGATCTGGTTCACGCAAGTTTCAAGTTACAGTGGCAAAAATCAAGCAAGACAACTCAAATCCACAGGCACAGCACCAGGATTTATTTTTTTTAAGTCTTCCTGTGACGTGGGGAGGCTTTGTGAACTTCATGTTTTTAACATCTATTAAATTAATACAAATCTTATAAAATGTAGGTGGCAAAAATCAAGCAAGACAACTCAAATCCAGAGGCACAGCACCAGGATTTATTTATTTTTTAAGTCTTCCTGTGACCTGGGGAGGCTTTGTGAACTTCATGTTTTTCACATCTATTAAATTAATACAAATCTTATAAAATGTAAAATACAATGCTGAAGGGACTTAACTGGGGCTACACAGATTTCTAACAGGGCTATAGTGGCCCCTATCCCCAGTGTGGAGCCATCCTTGAAACATTTTGCTTGATCACAACATACATTTTAGTGATCATATTTTTTTATTATTCACATCAGAAAAAGTTCATGTAAACCATTTTTAAGGTTAATGAATATAACGTATGCAACGCCAAACCACATTCTGCACATGTAACAACAGTGTGGCTTTGTAATAAAAGAGTGAGGGTACGAGACTGCCCTGCCAGCAGTCCAGACCTGCCTCCCATTCAAAATGCATGAAGCTTAAAATATGATAACGGAGAAACCGGGACTTTTAAACAGCTGAAATTGTACATTAAAAAAGAATGGGCAAGTCTGAAAAGACGTTTAAAAAACGACTTTGGGAGTGAATGAGTTAAACAGCTGAAATTGTACATTAAAAAAGAATGGGGGGGAAAAAACCCCCACCTGCAAAGCTTCAACAATTTAGTGTCCTCAGTTCCTAAATGTTTATTAAATGTTGTTAAAAGAAAAGATAATGGAACACGGTGGTTAACATGACCCTGTCTCAGCTTTTTTGGAACGTGTTGCAGTGTTAAAATCCTAAATTAATGACAATATGCTAAAAAACAATAAAGTTTATCCGTTTGAACATGAAATACATTGTTTTTGTAGTATAGTCACCCTGTAACCTGATAACATGGTAAGCTCACCACTGTAGTAACTGCTGTCCCTGAAAGGGTTAAATATGGGTTGAACATGATTTACAAATCATAGTATTCTGGTTGTTTTTTTTATTTTTATTTTTAATTTTTTTAATGTTTAACGTCCAAACTTCATTGGAATTGGAAATTGTATACCAGTACAGGATTCACCGATTGCACTGATGCACGTTCCTCATGCACCTTTTAGGTTTACCGTGCTCTTGGTTTGCACCAATCAGAAATCGAAGAATTCTTCTCCGGCCCGGCATTTCTGGCTTGGAACCGCATGGGAAACATGTTCAAGTTTGGTGGACCGCTGCCACAGTCCTGGCATGTGAATCAGCTGACCCTCCAAGTACTGTCACCTTTATACATCACGCACACTGATGTTATTCTTCAATCAATATGATGTAACCAATTGAAAAAAAAATCAATATGTAGCGTTCAATACAGGATTCAAACTCGTTGTCCGGGAGATGTTTTTAAAATATAGTTTGCTTATAGATGGGGCCAAAATGATATGTAACCTTTAACATACAGCCATTTACAGTAACCTTCGTCTGATTCAAATTCTTAAAAGATATTCTCTTTATTTTTTTTCTTTCACAGTTTAAAATCTTAGAGCGAATGAGATCATTTGGCATGATTCCAGTGCTGCCAGCCTTCTCCGGGAACATCCCCAAGGGAATCCTCAGGTAAAAAAAAAAAAAGCCAAAAACAAAACATTTACCTTTCCCTGCCGCCACAAACACTTCTTATTACAATTAATTATTTTTTTCAAGATAAATAAAATTATTGATTTCGATTTAAAAAAAAAAAAAAAGAAAAAAATTACTCACATTTAAAGTGGTTTATAATTCTACACACGCCTGTTCAAATGCCAAGTCTTTTATTTTTTTTTAAAGATAAGACTGAGATCAATAATTAAAATCAACCCCCCACCCCCATTAATGTGACTTATAACTTGTACAAATTAACTGGGAAAAAAAACCCAAATATCTTTTCAAGAGAGGATTTCAAAATAACTAACAGTGATAATGTGTTTGCACAAATGCACACGTCCTCCGTGAAAGCTTTTATCTTGGTGATTAATCAAAATCAAAACATTGCTTTTACTTTGAAAAAAAACGATCTACATTTTTGCCTATTTTTCAGATCAAACCAGAAACTGAATCCTAATTAATTTATGTTTGTGCATTTTCTGCCATTTGAAAGAATGTCCTCTTTTTGAGTAAAGGGATGAAAATCAAAACACTTTTGTTGATCTCATTCATTGATTAATCGACCTGTCAATTGATAAAAATAATTGGGCTCACTTCACCAGACATCTTCCTGCGATGCTTCATCTGATTAAATGGACTTTCACACTATTTCTACTGCTACCGTATCGTATTATATTTTAGATATTCATTTGTTTAATACATTTAAATTATATTATACACGATATTACGTGTAAAATGTTGCCCATTCAGCATTCATTGCAGTCTGGCCATCCTGGAATAGGGATTCCCCTATCTGCAACCCCTTCTCAAGGATTGTTATTTTTTGCCAGATTTTTTTTTTTTTAGTCTTCCCTTGCCCTCCTGGGAGTTAATATCAGGGCATGTCGTTAATATTAGTCAATTGCGGACACGTAAATCCCTTTGAGACGCTATCAAAATAAGTTTGACTTGACTCAAAAACTTGCACAAAGTTGTCGCACTTGTTCGCTTGTACCACCCACATACATCAAAATAAAAGCAGCAGATTCACAATAAAAGCTTTGCATATTTCATCTGTTTTATTTTAAATTTATAAAGACCGACGCCATAGTTCGTACTTTGCCCCGGCCTGCTCTATAGCTTGTTAATAAGAGTTTTTCTGTCACATTAAATGCTAAAGTACCTTTACCGAAGCTATTTTGAATTTCAGGTTGCATCCAGAGGCAAACGTAACAAGATTGGGGCCATGGGCTCATTTCAACTGCAGCTTCTCCTGCTCGTATATCTTGGACCCGAGAGACCCGCTTTTCCTCCGGATTGGTTCCCTCTATCTTTCCCAGGTGGTCCGACAATTCGGGACGGATCACATCTATAACACGGACACCTTCAACGAGATGATTCCTCCCTCCTCAGACCCCGCTTACCTGTCAGCTGTCAGTCGATCCGTCTTCGCCTCAATGACTGCCGGTGAGTTTTGGCATATCAATAAAAAAATGAAGTACGTGTAACAGATGTTCATGTGTCTGTACCGAAAGAAGTCTTATTAACCAGTTATCTTCCAATGCCGTTGTGCTGAGGACTCATTTTATCCTGTCTCCTGAGGAAATTCTGAACAGGACAGGACAGTCTTGCATGGTTATGTTGTTACCCCCATATTTGCGTTGCAATGCTAGGTGGCTAAATCTTCGCACCTCCAAATAACATAACTGAAAGTCAAGCGCAAATTTACTGGGACTGACGTTGGATTTTCAAAGGAGTTAAAAAACACAGTGCTTCCATTTAAACTTGAAATTAACTCATTTTGTGTGCCGCCAAATTTAAACATTGAAATCAGGACATGCCATGAATCTTTAGCCATTGGCTGTAGTAGGTCAAAAATGGCATTTATACAGTTTAAGACAGTAAAGATGATCCCATGGGCTGAACTTGTGAAAAACATCAACCAGAGTCAGACAGAGTCGCTGTAATTACTGACAGTGAAATGAGCTGCAATTGGTAAATAGGTACACACCATTAAATGATATAAACGTCCGTATGTCCAAACAGTCACAACCTGTATCACCACCAAATACAAAGAAGACAGAAACAGCGGCAGAATTGTTTTTAGGTGGGACTCAAATAGATTTGCGCTGCGGTCATGTTAGCTGGCTAAAGCTAACGTACAACACCACTAAATGATATAAACGTTCGTGTGTCCACACAGTCACAACCCTGTTTCACCACCAAAAACAAAGAATACAGAAACAGCGGCAGAAAATGTTTATGTGGGTGGGATTCAAATAGATTTGCATTGCGGTCATGTTAGCTGGCTAAAGCTAACGTAATCATATGGATACTTAGATTTCTATTGTGCCTTTTACTGAACCTACGGATACTTCAAGTAGCAATGTGACAAGATAAGATATCCTTTATTTGTCCCACACTGGGGAAATTTACAGATTTCCCCCAAATCACAGGGTTCGCCGTTCAGAACTGTATTTTGGTGAACTGAACTTTGGAAAAGTGGAATCTGTGGCTCAACTATACTGCCACGGTTTGTATGAGTGAACACAATTTAATTTGTTATTTTCAAGTACAATTAATTGTCCCAGTTTGGGGACCCCCAGATGACCTGTTGTGTTACAAAACGTACCCCTCTTCAAAAACTCCCTACTGAGTAAAATATTTCATCCATGTTCTAGAATGGTCCCTTTCTTGTACCTCATGAATTTTTTTTTTCCTCCATAGTTGATCCTCAGGCAATTTGGCTGATGCAGGGATGGTTGTTCTTTAATGCTGCAGCTTTCTGGAAGCCTGCCCAGATTCGGGCCCTACTACACGGCGTGCCCCTTGGACGGATGATCGTGCTAGATTTGTTTGCAGAGACTGAGCCAATTTTCTCCTACACTGAGTCTTTCTACGGGCAGCCTTTCATCTGGTGCATGCTGCAAAACTTTGGTGGCAACAGCGGTCTCTTTGGCACAGTGGAGAGTGTCAATTCGGGACTCTTCAAAGCCTTGCATTTCCCGAACTCCACCATGGTCGGCGTAGGCATGACACCCGAGGGCATCGAGCAGAATCCCGTCATGTACGAATTAATGAGCGAACTGGCGTGGCGCAAGGAGCCCGTCAACTTGGTCAAGTGGGCGTCTCTGTATGCCGTACGTCGTTACGGCACCACGCGAGACAGTCTGATCACCACGTGGAGACTCCTGTTTTCCAGCGTCTACAACTGCACTCTGCCGCACTATCGAAATCATAACCACAGCCCACTCGTGCGCCGGCCTTCCTTTCACATGAAAACCGATCTTTGGTACAACCCGGCGGACTTGTTCGAAGCGTGGAAACTCATGATCCAAGCGTCTCCTTCTCTCATGTCAAAGGAAACCTTCCGGTATGATCTCGTCGATGTTACTCGAGAGGTCTTACAAGTTTTAACATCATCGTTTTACCTGGATCTCACCGATGCCTTTCATCAACAAAAGTTGCCAGAACTGCTAACTACCGCAGGGGTGCTCATATACGACCTTTTGCCGGAACTCAATCGTTTGCTGAGCAGTGATCACCATTTCCTGTTGGGGAAATGGCTGGAGCGGGCGAAATCCTTCGCGATCGACGAGGAGGAGGCGGAGCTGTATGATATGAATGCCAGGAACCAGGTCACTCTGTGGGGCCCCAGTGGTGAAATCCAAGACTATGCTAGCAAAGAGTGGGGAGGCCTAATGGAGGACTACTACGCCCAACGATGGGGCCTGTTTGTCCAAACATTGGTGGAGTGTCTGGACAGCGGTCAGCCATTTAAGCAAGATGCCTTCAATCAGGCCGTTTTCCAGGTCGAAAAGGGATTTATTTATAATGGCCGAAAGTACCCCACAAAGCCTCAAGGTGACACGTACGAGATCACCCGCAGGATCTTTCTCAAGTATTACCCACTAGCCCTGAAAACCTTGAAAGGACTATCATGATCTGCAGAGACTACATTTTCGCTAAAAAAGAAAAAAAAAATGTATGCAGCAAGAGGAATGTGAATTATTAAAGACGTATCCCGAACTTTCTGATGATGAAAATCATGTTTGTCCATCCAGTGAACCACGACCTGAAATGTTGCGCAGGAAGAAAAATGTCCTGATCGCAAGCCCAGGCAGTACGAATGAGGCAAACGATACAAACCAGACTGCTGTCATGTTAATATTAATTCTGGTTGGTCAACCGTGGTACACAAAGCGTGCCGATCCAATGGTTAATTTAGTCTTTATTTCCAAATGTTGATGTATGTTTCCAACATGAGTTTAATGAAAATGTGGAGTAACACCGTAGCATGTGAACTTCATTCCACATGGTTAAGTCTTCCTTGCACGTTACAGTAAAGATTAGTTATAAATTCACTAAATGCAACACGTTTTTTTTTTCTCCACTTTTACAAATTCCAGATTCCATTCTTGACAAAACTGTCCTACTGATTTGAGCAAAGCAATGGTGTTGCAAGTTCACTTTTCAATATGAACAATGAAGATGCTGACTCCAACCTGCCTTTGAGTGGATGTTGATGTAAAAGAATTTAGATGTCAAACTAAGATGTCACCTCTACATGTCTTGTAAAATAATTCTGGCAAATAGAGATGTTCAAAGATTTTTTTTTTGGAGTGACTGATCATATGCCAACCACTGATGTACGACTGTCTTCGTCATCTAAATATATATTTTTATGATTAAATTAAATTAAGGTTGTATTTATTTTTTGTAACTCAGGCCTGTCATCAGAGTCTTGCACGTTATGGGACTAATACACTACCGTATTTTCCGCACTATAAGGCGCTTCGTTGTACAAGGCGCACCTTTCAATGAATGTCCTATGTTAAAACTGTTTTCAAATATAGGGCGCACTGTATTATAATAATAATAATAATACATTTTATTTATAAGCGCCTTTATAAGGCGCATAGAAGCCACATAAGTGGCTGCGGTTTTGTTATGCCTCCACTAGATGGAGCTACGCTAAAGGAATACAATTCAGTACAGCTGTATCCTACACAACCGCTGCAGCTGTAACAAAGCAATTTACAGAACATGTAAAATACTACGTCGGGGAAATCAGAATATTGATCCATATACAAGGCGCATCGGATTATAAAACGCACGGTCAGCTTTTGAGAAAATTGAATGCTTTTAGGTGCGCCTTATTGTGCGGGAAATACGGCAATTTTAATCTCCACATTGTGGTACATGTGCTTGGTGCATTGTTTTTGTGCCACCCGTAACAAAGGCCACATTGTCATCCATGCATCACATTTTTTTTTTTTAAATCAACAAGCATGACAGTTATGTCAGCTTTTGGTCCCCCCCCACCCCAAAAAAAAAATCTAAATGAAAACAGCCATTAAAAAACAAACAAACACACGATCGCAATGAATGCAAGAACAACAACATCAATTTAAATGTCATTTTATTGTTAAAATAATTAGTTTTACACCCAAGGAGGGACGTTTCAACTTCCTCTCCACTGATCATTTACATGAGTCAATTTTACAATGCATAAAATCCAATATATTCAAATTAAAATGTATTTTCACACACAAGAGCAGGTTCAATTCTTTGTTGGAACATCATTTTTCCAGCAGATAGCTGATCTTTCAGCACTATTAAGAGTTAGTTAGACCTTCCATTGGTTACTGGTTTCAAAATAAAATCCTGCCAGCTGAGATCCGGTCACCACTGTTAGTTTTTTTACAAGATTTGAGTGGCCTTCCACAATCAGCAAACCCAGATTGCACAGTTATACCCGAAGGAGCAGTCTTCATCACATGAGGACACTTGGATCAGAACTTGGGATCTAGTCCGAAAGACATCACACACAGCAGATGGATTGACAAATATCACAAAATGATTGCAAAGGATTGATTGTAATCTTTCCATTTTTTTACTTTTTATTTTTTAACCTGACTCCCTTTCTTCGCTTGAAACGCGCACATACACGCAAAACATTCGCTCAGATATCAAAGTAGACGCGGAAATGACACATTTACAGTAATTGCTCTTTCAATTCTTTAAAAAAAAAAGACAAGACTGAATCAAAATCGGCGAAGTAGAGCGCAATATTTATTTCAACGTTAAAGCTTATTTACTGTATGTTTGTGCGAAGGAGCGACTTGGAATCCAGCATAAGTGAAGCGCATGATAAACCACAAAAATTTGTGATTCCGCATTGCCATTGTATTTCTTTGTTTTTCGTTTTAAACATACAGTAACATATTGCCATCAAAATTAGAATATTATCATTAAAACCTGCCTTTGCTTTGCTGTATTTTATCTGCTTTGAAACATTCCGTGCATTTCTTTTGAGTTTTACCTTGCCCCCAAAAGTTCTGGATGGGAATACGGTGATAATAGTTCAATAGTGTGGAAAAAAGTTAAGTGATACCATAAAGGTGGCATAATTATAATAAGACTGTAAAGTTGGAAAGTCAGATTAACCCTTTTAGGGACAGCGGTTACTCCAGTGGACAGATTATCATGTTATCAGGTTAAAGGTTATCATGATTGGTGCATGAAAGGGTTCAAGAATGAATGGCAGAAAACCAAACATATTGGCAGGTGATTGACAAAGAAACACCTTCAGTCTAAGTATCCTTATTAATGGGACATTGTACAGTGCTGTGAAATAGTACAAGGTTTCCCCCTTCCCATTTGTTTCTTTATTATACTTAAAATGTTTCAGATATAATAATGAAGGCGGTGCGGGGGAAATCCAAATTTAACTGGCCCTTTGTGAAAAAGTAATTGCTCCTCCTCATCAAAGCATGTCTTGACTTGTCATTCAACAGTTTTTGTTAAGCTGAGTTCTATTTCACTGGCCACATCCAGGCCCGATTAAAATCTGATTTGTTGAATCAAGGAATGATTTGGGGCTACGGGATCTTAAAAAAAACAAACAAAAACAAAAAAAAAAATCAAAATCAAAACAAATTAAAGAACGCATTTGGAACAACGCGACTGAAAGCTACTGATATGGAAAAAGCTCGGTGCTAAAGCAAACCACAGCCTGAGTAATGATCCACAAACAGGAAACATTTGTGAAAATTACTCCTAAGAGTTCAACAATGACTCATTCAGGTCACAAATAATCCCAGAAGGAGATCAAAAGAAATACTGGGCAAAATGGCATCCACGGCAGTTTTCGGGCAAAAATCACGGCTCACAAAAACATGATCGCCAAGACTTCGAGAGAAATAAACCATAGACGGTCAAGACGAAAATTTAACTTTTCAACGGTCTGCAGCCCGTTTATCTGGCAGAAAAATAAAAGCATTTGATGAAAAAAACATCATGCCAACAATCAAACAAGGTGGTGGTCTGGTGCTTCCGCAGGACCTGGACGACTTGCAGTGATTAATGAAACAAGTAATGATGTTGTTGACTCGAAAATCCAGCATGCAAATATCCGGTTGTAATTTAGAGGTCAAGAACACTTGGGTTATGCAGCAGGGCAACAACCCCAAAACATACGAGCAAGTCCACCTGCGGACGGTTAAAAACGATCAACAACATACTGCAAACGCTCGATTGAGTTATTGCTGTCAAAAAAATGGCACAACCACTTATTTGGTTCAAGCAATTACTTTTTCACATGGGACCTGATAAACTTGTATTTGTTTTTTTTTCCCTGCACAAAAATCATCATTTAAAAACTGCATTTTAGATTTACTTTGTTGTCTTTGTCTGACATTAGAATTGGATTGAGGATCTGAAACATTTTGCTCTTTTCACAGCACTGCATATATACTGTATATGTATATCTGACGACATGACAGTGATAACATGAAAGAAAAATCCAGTATGCAAAATTGAACTTAAATGATTAATGTTTAATTCTGGCCATGAGGAAAGCAGGTAAAATGTAAACACATAAGAGAATTATACGATTCGGTCCAATTTCCTGTATGTTTTAATGTATTTACTGTCCATTCACTTTCCTTTCTGAAATTAACTTTCAAGAAAGATACTACATTACACCACTAGTGTACCACATTTAAAAAATATATATTTTATTTTTAGTTATTACTTATTGGCTCGGCTAAGAACAGGCAGCAATTTTGTTTTTAGATTTTGGTCGATCTGTTGGGTGATTAAGTTAAAAAAACAAAACAAGCACGTAGTACAATGTATGTTTTTTTTTTTTCCCTAAGCACAAACAGTGTGTGAATTCTGCAAAGGCATATTCATATGTATATGTTTTTTTTTTTCAAAGTAATGCTAGGTAAACAATTTGTAATAATGGAAAAAACCTGCCAGTCTTAGTACCAAAACCTGATTGCTAGACTTCACACACTGGTAACAAGTTGCATTACTGTCATTAAACAAAGTCATTTATTAACGATTCCCTGTGTAAATACGCACGATTTGACACTGGTTAGCTTGCAAGCAAAACGAACAGACCGATTAAAGCTGCCGGAATGAACAAACAATAATGTTCAAAACATAAAAGACAAAAATCAAGTTATTAAAAATGACATAAGGCAGTTACATGACAAGAATAGTTAATGCGCGTAAACATCCACGAGGACTCCAAAAATGTGACTCCGATCAAAACAAAAGGAACCAAGTTCAGATTTTGCAGTCTAACTGGATATAGGATCAAATTAGAATGACCATGCACTTAATTACGTCAAATGACAAATCAAAACGGTTTACATTTTTCATTGTCACGCTACAGTATAAGCTGGAAAAGGCCCGTGCATCATCAGTTTACTCAAAGTGGGGCACTGAGTCTCATACGAACATTTGAAGCAGCCTGTAATGTTGAAACACAATAATGAGCCAGTTATGTTTAAAAAAAAAAAACAAAAGATCAGCAGCAATTTAAAAGCACAATGAAAACCCTTATATTTTCCTTAAAAAAATATTATATGCATTATACCGTTGGTGAGAGGACCAACATGATATGCCATTCCGCCGGCAAAGTTAAAAAGAACTGAATTTGAATTAGAAAGAATTTGGTCTTGATCAGGGTTGCTTTGGGTTACATCGTTCATTGCATTCCGTCTGATTTCATATCATCCAATGTGTGTCAAATTTTTGCAGTTGTCAGTCCAATGGCTCAGCCTACAAAAATTCGATCAAAAGTATACAACTGTAAATAAGGAGTCAAACAGCACAAAAAAAAAAAAAAAAAAAGAAAGAAATCACTTAGTCTGAAATGATGTTAAAATGACTCCTTGAATGCCATCGACACAAAAACAAAAACCATAAAAGGGCAAGTCCGATTGAGAAGCGCTCTTTCTTGACTCCGATTTTAAAACTCGACCATGAAAGTTGCAATCTTACCGACACCATCGCAATTGCTACCGCTTTACGATAACAAAAATGGCGTCACTCGCAAAGACATGTTTTTGCTTTCTATTAGCGAGAATTAAGCGGGAGTGCAAGGATGCAACTCTCCGAATCGCGACACCGATTCGACTTGAAGACGGTGTGACAGTCAGCCACGTTTAAATGATCCTAAGAGGGTGAAAGGTCAAAAACGGTTCACGTCTTCCGACGCTGACAACCTTCAGCGACCGTGTGGAGACAGCGCAAGGATCAAGCTGAGAGGAAAATGGCGACGTGGTAACTACCGAATGTATTCGTGGGTGTTTATTACCTGAGTTACATCATTGTCGAAATTGGGTATATAGGAAAGAAAAGAAAAGGCAGCCTATTTTAGAATAGCAAGAAATTGCATGGCAGTAAAAAGTGTCAGTTTAAGCTTGAAAAGGTTGTAGTTGCATTTTCAAATGAACCATGAGATTCAAGCGACTCAAGTTCCAGTTGGTGGTTTGCTCAGTAGAAGAGTTGCTCGATACGCATTTAACACCCACATGAACAACAGTTTAAAAAAATGTAATCGCGTAGTTATGTTATTCGGTGCTGTTGTGTGAATGAAATTGCTTTCTTGGGATTCACTCCAAACTAATTTTCAAAATGGAACACGCTAACAGGCCAAGTCAAGTATTACGACGCTAACTTATCCAATGTTAGCGGATGCAAATAACGGGATCAGTGGAAATTATGGATCACTATCCAAAGGCGGGTATTATCTTCATATGCCATAAAACGACAATCAATTATGCAGAAACTGAATCTTCGGAAGAGACTTCTCTTTATAATCATTTCAATCGCTGCTTAAAAAAACAGCAATTTCCTCAAAAACTCAAGGTGACTGCTGAGAGATGGTCACCTGGATCGTATCGTCAAATGGAACGTAAGGAGAAAATATTGCAGGCTAGCTAGTTGAGATGTAAACAAAAACCGGCATATTAAAAACAACAATAAAAAAAAAAACCCAGAAGTGTTTGTGTTATTTTTTTTAAATTAATGTCGGCATGTGACAGTTGAGCATTTTCCGTTTTTAATTTGGCCTTTGTCAAAAAAAAAAAAAGCTTTGGAAGCAATCGTTTTTAGGGTCATGTGAAATTAACAGCTCACCAATCAGAAAGTTAGTGGCACGGTTAAGAAGGTTCAAAAAGCAGAATGAAAAAAAATATATATACATATATATTCCGATGCTTTATGGCAGTGAAAGCTTGTCTCTCAGCATCCCACCCAAAGAACCCCAAAATCGAAAACCTAAAACTTCTATAAATAGTATCAAATAGTTACGATGGTTAAAAACAAGACAGAAATATCTCTGGCTCACTCAGGATTTGAGATGTTCTGTTTTTCAAAACAAACCTAACCATTTTTCACCAACAATCAATCCAGCCAGTTAAGAAAGTTTAGACTTGTCAAATCCAGTGCATTTCAGTAAAACGGGGGTCACATTTTAGAGCTTGTGTAATGTGAGTCGGCGTTAACCAACGGCTGAGGCAGAGGGTCCTAATGCCTTCGAGGGATCGCTTAGTGCATGTAATGGTCAGCCTTCTCTACTTCTGACTTCCACTCGGAAAAAAAAAAAAATTCAACGCCCGCACACGCACCCATCGCAATTATGTGAGATGATGATGGCGGTTCCAAGATTTCCGGAAGGAGAGTGGACAAAGTAGGCAGGGACAGTGGTTCACTTGGAGCAAGTCGGAAGGTTAAGCGCGGGCGAGTCTAAGCCTCGTCTGAGAGGATCTGGTTCAATACGGTCAGCAGATGCTTGAGGCCATAAATGTAGCCGCGATCGAGGCTCTTGCTGGGGAAAACGTGGGCAAAGTCGATCATCTTGACCTCCACCTGCGCGTTGCCTTCGCTCAACCCGGTCGCCTCGCCTCCGCCTTGCACGAGGTCCTCTTCCCTCCCGCCGCCCTTCGCTCTCTCGTCGTACTCGCCCTTCCTTTCAAGTTGGAATTTGTTCCCATTTCCGTTTGGCGGTTGCCGGGACAACCAGGTCGAGTTGTCTTGCGGCGGCAATTTCTCGACAGAACCCGGCTGGCGCGTCGTCGTTCCTAAAGTGCCGTCGTCTCCGCTGATGCCTTGATGATGAGCCTTAGCGCACGGATGGAGGCCAGCTTTCCTGTGATTGCTGCAAATGGGGTCTCGGGCGCAATCGTAGGGCGCCGCCGCCTGAATGTTGTTGTTGTTGTTGTACTCTGCCATCTTTTCGTTCTTTTCACCTACCTCCTGGCTCCTTTCGTCCTTGCCGTCCCGACTCCTGCCGACGGCGGCCGGGCTGTTCGTGGGGGTGCCGATGAGAGGGAAGCTGCTGGAGGAGGGGAGGCCCTCGTAGACAAAGAGGAGAGAGCTGGCGTAGAAGACCAGCTGACGCTGCGACTCGAACCAGCGGAGGATATTCTGCACTCTGCGAATGCTGGCGACCACCGCGTCCTTCCTCAGACAAACGCCGTTGTGAAAGAATTTAGCCAAGCCTGAAGAAGAGAAAACGGAAAAGGCCTCGTTCAGACTGCAGGCACATCCACTTTGGCTGAACCGGTGGTGTGAGTTGCAAGTGACGACTGCTCTCAAATTTGCACGGATGAGAACATTTCATGGTTCTTTGGTTTTCAATGGTGAAATTGCATAATATGCAAACTGGAACTCGAGAGGTATAAGATTGCGAGTTAGGAAATATTGTATTTGTAAAATGTGTGTCTGTGTGTGTGTGGGTGGGGCGGGAGTTGATTTGAGCAAAACAAATGACTAATTAAAGACAAACGTACCATCTTTAATAGTCTCCTTCAACAGTCCCCTGCCATAGTGCTGGTCAAACATGTCAACAGTGTCACTGCAAAGCTTGTAAACCTGGAAGAAAAAAATATATATATATTGTAATACACATCTATATATTTAATGTATACTGTACAAAATAGGTCATACGACTCCTACAAAGGGCAATAAAAAACGTTTCAAATGTTTGGAAACACTTTCTTCACGTCTCGAGGGATACAATGAAATGTGGTGTTAGTGCCACCTCGTGGTTTCATCGTGTAACTACGTGCACACGTCGAAAAACAAACCAAAAAATAAAAATCAACTGAACTTGCGTTATTTGGCTGACGTCAGGATTATGGTTTTGATATATACTCACACACAACCCGTTTCTAAATCAACGTTCAATGCACCTGAAGTCATCGAACGGATCTGACCGGCATTCTTTTGAGAAAGTTTCCTCTCAGGTTGCAGAGTTTGAACCGCTGTGGTGGAAAGTCTCACAGGAAAGGACAGTATATCTCACATGACAACAAAGTATTAACTCTGGGCATGTGTGAAGGATTTTCCCTGAGATTTTTGTGCCTTTCCGTAATATTGATAGAAAAGGGAGAATCATGGTGGGGTGAAGTGGAAAACTTGAGACGAGAAAAATATATCCTGCAAGGATAATTTACTCAGGTCGGTTCTAAGCGTTGGAGCCAGAGGCAACTGAACGAGACAATCTAAAAATAATAGTAAGAATAATCTTGCACCTGCTCTAATTAAAGACGTGAAACCAGCCATCGCATTTCGTCTTAGGCAATGTTCCTCGAATTTTCCATCCGTCTGATCATTCATAAAAACTCCCTGAGCATTCATTGGACCATGGTGAGCAACATCAGACATGCACAAGGCGGCCAAACTAGTATCACACTTGTCCAAAACCGGCGGTCGTAAGAAGGTACGAGATATCGTATGATATGAAAACATTCAAATTACCTTCTATCAAAATAGAAAATATCATCGAATGGTGATTCATGACATGAATAAAGCTGGCCCAAGTTTGTTACTTTTATTTTAGCACACAGGTCATTTTAAGCTTCATTAAGTCAGTCTGTATAACGATGGTCACACATTGTCCACTCAAACAATGGAAAACGTCCATCCATTCATCCATCCATCCATTTTCCGATTCGCTTGATGCTCACAAGTGTCACGGGTGTGCTGGAGCCTATCCCAGCTGTCGTCGGGCAGTAGGCGGGGGACACCCTGAACCGGTTGCCAGCAAATCGCAGGGCACACGGAGACAAATGACCATCCGCCCTCACACTCACACCTAGGGACAATTTAGAGTGTTCATTCAGCCTGCCATGTATGTTTTTGGAATGTGGGAGGAAACCAGAGTACCCGGAGAAAACCCAGACACAGGAAGAACATGCAAACTCTAAACAGGAAGGCCGGAGCCGGAATCGAACCCTGGCAGTTGCTCACGCGCGCTGCTTAGACGCAACATTGGTCTTAGGTTTCCTATATCTCCCCTGCCGCAATTTGGATACGCTCCTGCTTAGGGGCAATGTGGCCATCTGGAATTTCAGGAACATTAATAAGGTATCTCTATTATATAGGTCCATTTGAAATTAGAACTATGGTTAGGTGCTGTTGTAAAACACTGTGTGCACAGCACTGGATATACTGTATTTTTATGGTTTGGCGGCGGCACTGTGCTACTGTAAAATGCTTCTAGTTTCATTTCAAGGAGTTCAGTTAATGTTACTGTATATGACAGGTTTTTAGATTGCTAAAAGTACAAAGTAGTTTTAATTGTATGCCTTAATTATTTCATTGTCGCTGCACAACATATTTCTGGTCAGGCTTTTAATACAATACCTCAAAGGCTGAAGATTTAGAGTTCAGGGCAGTAGTCTTTTTACATAAGTAGCATTTGCCGTGTCTTGCTAATTGTACAACGCACTGGATGTAAACTGCAAGCACACAGTAAATGTTAGAAACATCCAGAGCTGATGTTCAAAGACTGTTAATGTGCCATTGAAAAGCCTCTTCGTTTTTTTGTCGTGAAACAAGATGTAACCTTATACCTTGTAACCTTATACTGAGACGTATTACACAACTGTAACTGCCACAAGATTTGTTGTGTTTGTATACTGAGGATATCTTAAAGCAAGCAGGAAACGATCAAGATACAAACAACGGAAGGGAAATGGAAACAAAGTTTTAAATATTTTACTTGCTTCCTTTCGAAAAGATAAGATGGACTATCAGTCTTTCCTGTATTCTCCCACCCCTGTGGACCGAGTAATCCGATTCATATAAACGATGTGTGTTCAAGTTTTCACTTGCTGATCAGCTGTGCGTGTTTTCTGTGAGTAATTGGTTATGCACCACGAGAACTTGCATTTGGTGGAGGCGGACCATTAATGATTTTAACAGAATTTGGGGGTCTAAACAGATTATTACAGATCAGTGTATTGTTTTTTTTAATGCTGTAATAAGTATCAAAAGTAGCAGGGGTCAAGTACAGGACCGGCGAGAATGCAAGGGTCTCTGTAAATTATCACACATATCCATATTGTACAAAGCGTAGTGGATCTCATTCATTTATCCGACTAAATTGAGAATATTAAAGCTTGCTCGCACAATTTTCCAGGGTTTTCATGAGCAGGATGAGGTACAGTCATGCTTTCCTCGAGGGTAGAATGAGGAATTATGAAATGACACACCGTATATTCCTATATTTACATTTTTCAAAAGTGACCTTATAAATCACACTCACTCTCATGCCAAGGACCAGGAAGCCCATCTCTTCCATCAGTGGGTATTTTCTGATCTGTTGCTCCCTTTTCTCCTGCGAGGCAAATGGATCGTAACTTCTCTGGCCCAACTTCACATCCATGATGCACGGCTTGACGAAGCGTCGAGTCACGTCCTCAAGCTTCATGTACAGCTCTGAAGTAGTGACAGACAGAGAGACGATGTGGCAAAGCTGGCACGGCCGTCCGTGGCGTCAAACTCAAGGAATTGCTTGAACGGATAAACACTAAAATTATGATGAAAGTTATCACCTTCATCATGTTATGTATATTGTCGCCGATACGCATGAGCAGATATGCATAACATAGTTCCATACCATTTGGTGCATCAGGAGAGGACAAAGTGCCGTAATATTTTGGGAGATGTGTCTGGAGCTCCAGAAGACACGGGTCACGGCAATCGTCTGCATATACCTAGAAAACGAATACGGCCACATGTATTACCGTATTTTCCGTACTATAAGGCGCACCTAAAAGCATTCCATTTTCTCAAAAGGTGACGGTGTACTTTATAATCCGATGTGCCTTTTATATGGATCAATATTCTGATTTCTTGGATGTAGTAGATTCTGTGAAGCGCTTTGTTTCAGCTGCAGCGGTTGTGAAAGTTCTATATCAATAAAGCTGTATTCCCTTTAAGGTAGCTCCATCTAGTGGATGCATAACTCACCCGCAGCCACTATTATAGCTTTTATTTTATGCGCCTTATAATGCAGTGCACCCTATATATGAAAAGTTTTAAAATAGGCCAGTCACTGAAGGTGCGCCTCATACTCCAAAGCGCCTTATACCGCGGAAAATAGGTAGCTATATTAATAGACCCATATGAAATTACAACTATGGTTAGGTGTTGTTGTAAAACACACTGTGTGTACAGTAAGTACTGATATACTGTACCGTGATCCCTCGGTATTTCGCGGTTCGTTTATTGCGGCTTCAGTGCATCGCGGATTTTTTCAAACATATTCATTAAAAAAAAAAAATAAATTTTAAGTCCGCAAAAAGTCCGCAAACGGTCAGCGAGAAGCAGCGAAAGTCAGCAAAACAACAGCGAGGCACATAGAGCAAGATATACAGTACTACATTTGTACATTTACTGTATTTTGTTATTCATACACTAACCTAACTTATACATGTTTAAATCTATTGGTATATAGCATTAAGTAATGTTAATTCCTACAAAATTTACTTCTACATGCATGTATACCATTAAATTTGGCCTTATATTTTTTATACTCATACACTCTTTCAAATAACGAATATTCACACTCAAACGCTGTGGTACATGTACCTATTGGGGTGGGGGGGGTCGCTACTTCGCGGATTTTTGTTTATCGCGGGTGGTTTTGGTCCCCATTAACCACAATAAACGAGGGATTACTGTATTTTTGGTGGCGGAAAATACGGGACTCCGTTGTGGGTTTTTTTTTTTTTTGTTTTTGTTTGCATACACTGTCTGTGCATCCATGTGGACGAGTATTACCATGCTGTAGAACTGCATCTCCCTTGGTCCTCTCGGTGGAGGTTGCAGTTGCTTCAGGACTGTTCCATCTGGATGTTGCAGAATCCCTTCAAAGAAACAAACAAATCAAGTGTATGGATCTCATAACACAGTCAAGCCATTTGGCTCAGTATTGTTAGTGAAGCAAGAAGTGTATTTAAATATATAATTTGTAAACACAGAGGAATACAGAATCAACGGTCAATCAAAGAAGTGGAAATCTATTTGGATGGAAGTGACAATTACTTTACAGTAGCTTGAGAATACAATTTTTGTCAAGTCTGTGTGAATTCGAAAGGGCGGGCTAGCAACTGAAATGTCGTAGGTAAAATATGGGAAATGTAAATTGAGTACAGCTAAAATCAGTGCAATCGATGAAGATTTGATATCTACTCCCGTATTTTCCAAACTTTTCCAAAATTGCTCAAATGATAATTGCCAGCTGTAGGCATGCTAACATACGTCAACGTAGTGTATATAATCATAGTAACGTGAAAATGAAGAACAAATGTTCCGAATCATCGGCACAGTTGGAATGGCTTAAAGTAGTTGCAAAATCTGGAGAGGAGGAGGAAATATGGAAGGTATTTCTTCTTATTATTATTTTTGTTATTTAATTTTAGTGTAAAATGTAGAATTCTGAAAATTTTTTATCAAGGTGTCTAGACTGAGCTCAACATTTTGAAGTTGAATGGCTTGAATCAGGTGATAAACATTTTTGTTGCATTCGTTTGGGAATTTTGTATATGGAAAATGTGGAACACTGAAAAAAAAAACGGGAATTGGGGTAATGTAAAAATAGTTCCACACATTTCCGTTTTCAAGCTTGAATCGTTTAGATCAGTCGAGAAATGTGAAAAGATTAGACTATCTACCTTGATTTTAGTCATGTCAAAAAATGCTTTCCAGAATGTCCTGAATAACCTTTGGACAGTTGGAACGGTTTGAATCGGTGGAAAACGTGGAAGGATGAGGAATACAAATTGTTACATTTCGGCATCAATCTGGAAACTTTCTCATGGAAAAAAATGGGACCGTCACAAATGATCTAAAAAGTAGAGAAATATGGAAATGTCTTCATTCACTTCAATTCGGGGATTTTTTTTTATATACCTGTATATATTTTGTATATATATATATATATATATATATATATATATATATATATATATATATATACACACACACACACACACACACACACACACACACACACACACACATATACAAAATTAACTTCAATTTTATTATTGGATTGCATTCATATGAGTCCAAATGATTTCCAAGCACATCTGCGGTGAGCTACGCCCCCTTCCAGTAAGTCAGCCAAATCCGGACGTGGCCTCTTGGACTTAGATTTACTCACAGGTCATCTGACCAGATGAAATACTGCTGACATAAGACGTGAGCCCATGACAGAAGTAAAACGCATTCATACAGTATGTCATCTTTCAATTCTGCTGCTGTTGCAGATTTTGTGGAAGCCAAGCCAAATCTATCAGTTCCTTTTTTTAAATCGACACAGTACCAAGTGGTTTGCTTTGGTTGGGTCTTTCTCAAATGGGACAATATATCAAGTTGAAAGGACAAGAGGAAGAAGCCAGCCTGGGAATGTGTGCGCTCTCCTGTATTGATGGGGATGGTGCCTCGGCCACACCGCAGTTCGATGTTTGTGTTTCATCATTTTTGACAAAGTAGCATTTTTCTCCTTTCGATGTAGAATGATGTGCATGGAAATCTTTACACGATATTATTGTTAACAGGCTATCGATGAGTAATGCAAAGCAGGTACAACAGGCAACCTCTTGTTACTGTTGGAGGGAGGGTGGGGTGAAAAAATGTGTTCTGATTACTCCTACGATTATAACCTCATTTTCATTTTTCAGCAGTCATGCTGGAGTCTGTGTGGGAAGACAAATGCAGATTCTTATGTATTCTGGATATGTTGCGGATTACATTTACATAGGAAACGCTGAAAGTGTTGTCAGGCCATGATTTATTATCAGGAATGTTTTTTTTTTTTTATGGCTAAGAAAAAGCTATATGGAGATAAACTGGCAAGGGGTTTATTTTGCACAAAGGAGGAATGGCTGCTTGTTACGGTTCTATTAGCAAGGAAATCTTGTCGGAGGCTGACTGGGACGCTGTTTATTTTGTTTGTTCCACTGCATTGTCAAAGAATCATTTTCCGCCTTTTTTTTGAGGGGGGGGTGGTGTTATTTGTTACATTGTACACAAATAAAAATGCATAACTTGGAAATTGTTACAGACAATTGTTGTCCTGCCAATCAATGATTTACACTCGGGGAAGAAGAAAAAAAAACTTCAGGTTTGAATTCCAATCATATAAATAGAGTACGCAACTAAACTGAAAAACATATCTATTCAAAATTTTTTTTTTTTGTAAAAAAAAAAAAAAAAAATGTTTTGAATTCTAAAGTATTTTCTTTCATGTTTGAAAAAAAGGGTTCTGACTGAAGGAGTCCAAAGGTCAGGCTTCAGGGCTTTGCCCGATGCTTTTAAACCACCGTTGGAAACGTTCAGGCGGTATAAAGCAAATACCGTGTCAAAAATGCAAGAATCATAATACTCAAGATATTTGGTCCAAAAGGGCCAAGGGCAATCATCAATCATCTTGTTTCTCCTGGCAACCCTCTTCACAATTATTAGGCCCTGGAAGTTTACAATTCAAAGAAAAGACATGATAAAAAAAATTGATAACATTTGACAAGTGAAGGTGTTTTTCGACAGACTTACACATCAATCGAGGGTGGAACAAATAAGTGCCCATTTACTGTATACCTGCACATATGACATTACATGGTCATATAATATTTCACATCTATTTATGATTACAGCCTAAAAAAAAGTCATTTAACTGGCTCGCCAGTGCAAATTTATCTTACTATGACCGCAGTGCACAAATTAAGAAGGAAGTCTGGACCGAGTAAATGAACGACATCAACTGGGGCTTCCGTCTAACATGGTAGGAATTCATGAATGTAGAACATGGTAAAGATGTACGCAATCTTAAATCACATCGCTGCTTTGCATACAAAAGTAGTACCGTATTTTCCGGATTATAAATCGCTCCGGAGTATAGGTCGCACCAGACATAAAATGCATAATAAAGAAAAAGAAAAAAAACATATCTAAGTCACACTGGAGTATAAATCGCATTTTGAGGGGGAAATTTATTTGATCAAATCCAACACCAAGAACAGACATGTCATGTTGAAAGGAAATTTCAAATAAAAATAAAATAGACAACAACAGACTGAGTAAGTGTACGATATGCTAACATGACATGACGCATACACAACGAACTATGTTCACCTAACATATTAAGAGTTATTCAGACAAGTACAGCATAAAGAACAGACTAAGAAGTGCACCAAACCATCAATATCACTCTAAATCACTAAATCCAATGAAATCTTCATCCTCCGTGTCACTTTTATACAATTCCGTTGGTCGAAGATGCGGCGCTTCCTATTCTACCCCGCTTACATCAGACTCATCGACTTATCAACACGCGCCTAGAGCGCCTTCTTGTGGTTCAAAGTGAAAACAACATGTGAAATTACAGTATATAATAATGTGTTTATAATTTCACACATAAATTACACCCCTGGGCAAATTATGAAAAAAAATTGCGATTTATAGTCCAAAAAATACGGTAATCGCAGATTTAGTGTATATTTTAATCCTAATGTGTTTATGAAAGCCATTATATCGGCCAAGCAAAATACATCTTTGTATAATACCGCTTCAAGAAACCTTTCAATGGCCTTAAATTAGTTTCCATTTTCAACAATACCTACGGGGGGCAACGCAAGTGTCAGCCTGGGCAAACAGGAAATGGGAAGAGCGCTCTCGTGTTCAGTCATCACCAATACAGGATGAGCGGGATTCCACTATTTGGTCAACATAGCAAGGTGTAACATTGCCTGCGGAGTCTATGACTTCAGTGTATGCGACCGATGTGTTAATGATTATTCAAGACCAAGCCCAGGCATAAAGCAAGATAACATCGGGCTGCTGAACTCAATGCTGCTTTGTTTTCAACAGATAGAGGCGAGACAGGCAGGTATTCCTCTCAAAGAAAAACAGGTTTCGTTTGAGACTGGTTTAATCATTGTTCCACTCTGTTTGTGAGCAATATGAATAATGAGGAAAAAAAAAAAGGTACTTCATTTATTCATCATTGAAGTAACCTTAGTAGCAGTCACCCACGCACTAAGTTGCTACCAGAAACGAGTCCCCGGGCAAAATGCTGTTCACATGCAGCGATCACGTTTGGATTAGGTCGAACATTTTCCTTGACGTGATTACCGATTGAAACGTACTTGGCCAAAGTGACTAAATACAAACTATGACTCAATACTGACTGCCATGTCCTAACATGAAGCATTACAAAGCACATGAGATAGCCGCTAAAAGGTCGGACTGGGCCATTAACTCATTCAGTACCAGCCTATTCTGGACCAAGTCTGAAAAGACGTTTAAAAACGTCTTTGGGAGTGAATGAGTTAATCGATTTAATCAATGAACAGCCTCCTTCCTCCTCCACCACCACCCCAAAAAATAAAATCTTCAAGTTTATTTGCCAATTGAAGTGGCAAATAAATTCAATTAAAATCAGAAATCAAATTTGGTGGATAAAAACCTCTGGGAATTTAGTTTAAGTAGGGGTTGACCAATATGGATTTTTTTTTCAAGGCCGATGCCAATTCCTGACATTCAGCAGAAGAATATTCCGATAACCGATTCAGCAGATTATTTTTGGGGGCGAAAAAAATGAATAGAATATATATATATTTGTGGTTCTCTTAACTCTTCCAACAATAAAGATATGAATTATAGGGAGAACATTTGACTGTTTTATCATAATTTTTCCTTTAATATTTGTTCATCTTTACAATTGAGAAAAACAAAACACCCTGCAAATTTGTGCAGGGTGTTTTGTTGTTGTTGTGGGGGGTGTTTGAATGCCATTATCTTTGTCTTATGTTGTAATGTGTCAATCAAAAAAAAAAAAAAAAACAATCCACAAAAATCCACCCATTTCACAATAACTAATATTGCCCAATTAAATCGCCCTAATTTTAAGGCGGTATTCCCCGGCCCCCCCAAAAAGCATCGAATAATTTGGTTAGGCAGAGAAACACTTTCAGCTTTCTGTCTGGATGTGAACTGTGGAAATTTTTACCCCCTCATGCGCTATATTGAGGACTCACAAAAGGCTCCAAAGAGACAGTTGTATTTTTGTGCAAGATGGCTGTCTCCCAAAACTAATTTTCGACCGAATGACACTTAAACTATTAACTGTGCACATTTTCAGTTCAGTACTCTGCTCGGCAGCGCCTTATAATAATGCTCATTTACACACTAATATATATTTTAACCCTTTCAGGGACAGCGGTTACTAAAGTGGACAGGTTATGTTATCAAGGTAAGGGTTATGATTATTGGTGCATGAAAGGGTTAAATAAACTTCAATTTATTTCTGTGAAATCCCCCCAAAAAACATTTGTCCAAATAGATGTCCTTGATAATAATGCCCCACATCCAACCCATAAATGCAGAAATAGCTTGAGAATTCATATTTCATACAACGTTGTCAACTATATGGCTGTAGTGTTATTTTCAAGTCTGCAATTTCCTAGAATTCAACATCACTTTCTGCTAGCGACTGTGCACTCCACACCTCTCTCAAAACAAAGGTGCGTCTATTCCGATCTCATCGTGACATTTTGGTCAATAGTGCGACGACATGAGTAATAGTTGTGCTATGATTGGCATTTCTTCAAAATGGAAGACTGCTTTCTATTAGATAGATAGATGGCGCCCGAGTAGGCAGCCGTCGGCAAGTGCTCTCATGAGCCTCGCTTTTTTTTTTGTTGTTTTTGTGTTTGTTTTGTCACTTTGTGTTTATTGTTACGTCGTGTGGACCTGATGTGGACGTTTTTCAGCATTTTTTTGGCCACGACATTCATCAAGGAGGAGACTCTGTGCTTGGTGGTTGCGCCTTCTCGGCAGCATGGGTATACCAGCACTGTTTTTGACTGGGAGGAATGTCGGCGCCATTTGACTGTCGTTGCTGGACAGTCCCGGGGCGCTTGTGTCGTGCGCCTGTAATGGGCAGCATTTTTTTCACAGCCCCGCTTTGTTCAGCGGAGAGATCGGTGCTGTTGAACGGTCTGCGGCTCGATGGATGCAACGCTTGAGGAGCCGACGATGAGAAGAAAGGAGCGTTAGCGCGGAGCGCCGATGCGGATGTGGAACTGGGAGTCGCGGCATGGAGTTTGAAGCGGATTACGTGGGAGAGGAGAAGTGAACTAATCTCTCTTCGTCAATGGACGCTACAGCTTCGTGTTTGCTTTCAAAACTTAGCTTGTAGCAGACGTCTCTGATCCACTGGTGAAAGGAAACTTTGATCTCTCCTCTTTCATCTATAACTGCTTCAGACAACAAAGTGTATGCAGAAAAGTGGTGAAGATTGCACGACTGTCTGTGTCCTATGTGTTGTGTTGTGTTATTTTTGTTATTTTGACTTCAAAATGGCACCGCGAGAGTGGCTGCCTTTCCAGCAGCTCCTATATTTTCTTGTTCTACTTCTTCCTTTCATAACTTTGCTGCTGTGAATTGGGAATTTCTCCATTGCGAGACCAATAAAGGTTTTCTTATCTTATTAAATGTGCCCTTTCAGATTTTCTGCAACACAAATCAAGCTGAATAGAAAACGAATTTGGCTTTGACAGAAGGGTGCTCGGTGAATTAAAGTCATTTCTTCCGTAACCACATTCCAGTAACATCCATGTGTTGAGCTAACGCTGAAGAGCATATTTAGCTACTTTTATGTGGGTATACACTGTAAGATTAGTTTAAAAAAAGTGTCGGTCAATAAGCCACACCCATGAGTGCCCATTTGGAGTGGCGTTCACTACGTTCAGGTTTTTCATCTGTCCAGCATACACAACTAGCACAACTTGGCGATTTCTTAAAAGATCCAGTTGCTCCACCTGATGTAAGTTTTTACAAATTCGTAGTTGACGAGCCCCCGTCAAAAACCTAGGTAAGGCCATTTTTCAAATCCAAATGTTTCTATGTAGTATATATATTTCTTTTCTGCTTCTACCAAATATGCAATAAATTGGTTGACTTACACAGACATTTTTGGACCGATGTAGTTTCTAAATGATCAGAAGACCTTGGCCAGAAATTGGTGCATTTTTACCAGATTTAATGAGTCATAACTGATGATGCTCATGTAAATCAATTGATCCTTTGAAATTTTACAAACACACCAACACACGTGGATGAAATTCATGTCAGGGTGAAGCTGTACTTACCCACTTTATCCACGCCATACTTGTGACCGGCAACCTGATGTGACAGCGGCACGCAGCCATTCAGATGAGCCGGTCCTTGTGTTCCAATTGGCCGGTGACCGCTCATCTCTTTGGTGGAAGCAGCCGGGGAGATGCACGGGGTCATGTTGACCCCGACAGCGGAAGTCAGGTCCAGTCTACCAAGCGCTAAAGATGACTCCATCATCACTTGATGATGGTGACTTGCTGACATTTGTAATAAACGACGGGGCCAAGCAATCTTCGTTCTCAAGCAAAATACATATATATTTTTTAAAAAGTCACTGTATGGATTCACATACTTATTACGTAACCAGCGCCCTAGATGCAGTTGCAATAAAGTGTTGGGGCGTGAGGTTGTGAAGTCTTATGGGAAGTGGCCCAATCCAGACGAAAGCAAAGACACAGCGGCTCCGTTCGCTGCTTTTGATTCCCGGCAGCAACTTCAGGGACGTAGGACAAAACTGTTACACACGCTGTTATCGACGTTGAAGCAGAGCTCCCGAAACGCGCGGATTCTATGATTTTCATATCTTGATCAGCAGCATAAATACAATCTGGCCACATCCCACTTCCTGACAGCGTCAATTACAGGTGAACCAAGCACGATTTCCGGTAACGGATTTCAAAATAAAACCAGAGAGCTGTCGTGCAATACACACGACGTGTCAGTATCAACCATTACAAGGTATTGCACCATTCCGGTTGTAACATATCACATTTTAAATGTCTTTATGAAGCAATATTATCCCATTACCAATAAAATGTAGGAACTTTCACCAAGCCCAGTTCCCCTTTTCACCTGGCGCTGTTGACGCTCCTGTAGACTGATGTTGCGACACATTAAGTTTAGAGTGGTTTCCATCAACAAAATCGAAAGCAGACTACACTAACGAAGAGTAAAACGTACCGGAATTACGAAAACGCTCTAGTCCACCTTCAAAATGAAAGCCAACCCTTATCAGTAAGACGAAACGTGACCCTCGTCAGCCTTAAACCTCGATTTTAGCATCGATGCGTGGGATACAGGTAGGAAACTACTTTCGGTTCAAGTGACGATATCCAATGAGTTGCGACAATTCCAAACTGTCGCAAATAATACTTTCACTGCTTTACGGCAGCCGTTAACGTTTTTTTTCCCCTCCCTGAACTTTATTGTATCAACAGACGTTTACAAAACACATGAAAAGTGGCAGATAGCTAATGAGATTGTGTTCATTCATAACATTATTTTATAATTTTATAGCTTACTGAAGAACACGTAGACGAATATGTATATAGATATATATATATATAT